ACTTCCGCACTTGGAAATACCGGACGAGCACCTGCAAGAGTGGAATTTCCAAATAATGCCTCGAGTGAGTCGCCTGCTTCAGAGGATCTTGAAGGAGTCTTCTGAGTCGTGTGGAGTAAACCTCATCATGACTGGCGAATCGCCTGAAAGTGCTAGAACCACGATTTGTGTTACTTGCGCAAGCGTGAAGAAGGTTCGAATGGCCCTCAAGAAGCACTTCGCTCTTGGTCGGGATGACTGGGATTTGATTGTCCTCCGTGGCGATATCGAACGGTCCAAGGTTCCTCGGAACAGACGTCGGAGGCCGGCCAAGACTCGCCCAAATGCGTCCAATGATACACCCTTTCGCCAGCGAGAGCTCAATCCATGTCACCAGCAGCGACCCCTGTGCGGAGCATCTATCGGTGCCTTCCAGAACGAAGAGCACCTACCCCCCGTCTCATATGGTGGTGCCGTCTTTGTTGATGGCTTGCCGTATGGCCTAACGGTTCATCATATGTTGGAAGCTCCTAGCGAAGATGAGGGCCAAGGCAGTGGCCTTGGAGACTCCAACCAAGACGTCCCTTCCAGGTCGGCGGGGAACTGGCCCCGTGATACATCAAATAATCCACATCCTGGATTCATGTACGACTATCCAGAGGATGACTCGCCTGACACGAACTTCGATTTCGAAATTTCCGATCTGGAGGACGGAGACGATCCATCGCAAGGCCTTGAGTCTGGGTACGATGAATTCTGGCTTTCAGATGAAGATTCATCGGATGATGATTCCGTCGGCCCTGATGACTATGACGATGATACCGCGTCCATCGGCGATACTGCTGGTATCGAACCAGGCGAAGAACCTCGACTGCTTGTCACCCAACCAGCCATTGACGACGTACACGAGGACTTTTTTCCATCTCCAGAAGATCGCGATGACGAGCATCTAGCCTCCCACTCCCTAGGTTATGTCCACGCATCATCTGGGGTACGACGCTGGACCCGAAAGGGTTTGAAACATGAAATTGACTGGGCGCTCATCAAAGTCGATGAAGCCCGCATGGACCCTCGCAACATCATTCTCGATACTACCAGATCCAGTATTGCTCGTCCGGGACGCCCTATCCCACCACAGCCCATATTTCTGAACCAGGTAGCCCGAATGGAGGAGCTACGTGGCTTGCAAGTTCATTGCTGCGGTCGCACAAGTGGCCTTCAAACAGGGCAGATATCCAAGGCTATGACATTGGTCAAACTTCAGGGACGGCATTCATTCTCAACGAGCTTTTGCGTCAATGGGAACTTCGGAGGTAAGAGGTGCATTTCAGCGGATCCATGTTTTTGTCTATATGATCCTTAATTAGATACCCTTTTTTTTTTTTTGTCATGCACGCCCATCATTTGTTGCCCTTCTTAGCTGGTAAACATACAGCACCATTCCACCCTAAGACATCAACTCGTATCGAGTAAACATTACATCAAGCTAATCTCTCCTCATCCGACAGCCCCTGGCGACTCCGGCGCATGGGTCTTCGACCGTCCCACCGGCCGTGTGTGCGGCCACGTTCTCGCCTGGTCCGCAAAAAGCAACACAACTTACATTTCTCCTATGGAGGTCACCTTCGATGACATCGCACGCACGCTCGGCGCCTCCCTCGTCTCCCTTCCCGGCGACCCGAGCCGATCCATGGGTTACGTCGACCCGAACTCCCCACAGTCTGCTCATTACCGCTACCCGGCACAGCGGCTTCCAGGGGACTTTGGCCGTCTAGGCTTTGGAGCTGGAGCTGGATCTTCCCCCGGTCCGCCTGTACCACCCTATCCCCATAACTATCCTCGCCCTCAACCCCACCATCCGGCTTACGGCCGTCCTCCACCTCCGCCTCCGCCTCCTGGCTCTCGAGAAGCCCGTGGGCCCGTGTATAGTGGCCCCGTCCCTCCGATTCCGGCGTCGCTTCTTGCTGGGCCCCGCAACATCGAGCGACAACTTGCTTGATTTTTGGAAGATCTAGGATACGGAATTAATACTCGAGATCCATGTCATATTGTTCTGGGTATATTTATTTTGTTTCATGATTGTGTTGTGCTTTATGATTATGTTGTGTTTTATGATTGTGTTGATGTTTATGGACGTTGGGGATACCCATGATGGAGCGACTTTTGGTTCTCTTTTCGTTTACCTCTATAAGAATTATTTCACGTGAGCTATTTGAAGAGCAGTATTCACCAAAGAAGTTACACTAGATCTAAAGCATTTACGATGCAGCTAAGGAGAACACACGTCCCGAGGCTGACGTTAGTCCGGCCCAGTACTTATTTTTGAAAGTGACTCCTACTCAATAGAATGTTTACCACGCGTTTACAAAAGTTTCATAAAGCTCGATTTAGTTATTTGAAATTCGATCTTGCATCGTCAGAGAAACCGGTACTGAATCAAACTTGGCAGGTAGTAATTGCGATATGTAAATAGTTATGACTTGATATATACGGCATGGAACACGCAAGGACTTGGGGCTCATGCGGCGTATACTACTCGCCACGGAACGATAGCAGATGGTGTGGTACATAATATGGTCCACCTAGTTTGCCAGCACTTGAGAGAATATGCCACGACATCGCCAGAAGCCGAATGAATCCTTTATGCACATGTAGGTTTTCACCACTTCGATGGCGAAGATAATCATTTCCTATTCAGGCGGCCGATGACTCTAGTCTTGAAGCTTGGAATCCTTTTTATTAGGATATTAATTTTGTTGAGGAAAGGAAACGTAGTAGCAAGAGATAGCAGTGGGTGGTCATGTTGGCCTATGACCGTTGTATGGAGTTCTCTGACAGAGTTTAAGCTTGGTCGGTCATCAACGAAAACCTGTCTTTACGGATTTGAATGTCTTTATTTTAGGCTTAGTTGACTTGTGAGGAAAGCCCCGTCTATATGCACCTACGCGATCCTTCAAGGACAGTATTTCGAACATATAGTCAAGGTGTAAGGTCTAGATAGGCAGATATCTACCCCACAAGCCTTCAAGAAGTAAGAAGTAAGGGACCAGACAAGAGACAAGAAGCGAAAAAAATAAGGAGAGAATGGGATTATAGTCTAACAGTAGCTCAGGATGCCCAACTGGTGAGTGAGCACATGAGCTTTCTAAACCTAATTCCCTGGAGAATACAAGTCCTTCAGTATTTCTGATCGTGGTTAACTATATGCAATCACAATTAATCTCCCCTACAGTATGTTATAAATTAATTGGCAAAAGGAGAGGGCAATAAGACAGACAACAAGGATTTGATTTTTGAAATTAATTTCCCAATCTTGAAATCCATGAACTGATGATACTTCATGAGAGCTGAATGTTAAAGACAAACCGAGTCACCGACAAAGACAAAGTCACTGGCAGAGACAATGGTCCCTCCTGCAACTTTCCCCAGAACATCATCCTCAGCCCAGACAAAAAGTAGATCGGAAAGAAAACAATGTGTGTCGTGATCCGCATGATGTCGGCGATATAGGATGCAAAGGAACATTCACAATCTGATAGCACGGACAGCCCGTATCTCAAAGTCGATATTGGGCAATAATTCAATAATAATTTCAGCTATCACTCCACTGGCCTCCAATACCCGCAGGTAGGAGTCATATTGGAGGATTCGGGGGCCACCTTTCGCATCAAATCTCTTGTTGTTTCGATCCACAAATGCTTCTCCTCTGTTAGATTAAATCTGGATATCTCTGTGTTGATTTGAGCCCGTGTTAGTTGGAAATTGACGAAGGGCAAAGCAATTTCTACAAAATCTAGACTGCAGCGAGTATGTATTGATTCTCTCACAAAATATGTCTATTTTAGATGAGGTTACTGGAATACAAAGGGACCAGAACTGCTAATGTTGCATGTGGAGCTTGACTGTCAGCCTCAGAAACTAGACTCTTGATTCGACGGTAGCCCTTGTAAGAGGCCATGGTATGTCAAACCCTCCATTGTATCGAAGTCAGAACTTCTATTCTGATAAAGGCTGTTATGAATCCAGGACTCGAACATTAACCATTTTCAGAGTGAACAATCCATTGAATATCACACGGCATTTTGGCTTAGTCTTCGGAGTAATAGAAGCAGTGAACTGACTATACAGAGAGGAAAGAGTGGTAAAATACTGCGACGCACTACATACAGCTGTTACTATGGCTTATTCAATATACCTCATGAAGAACAAAGAAGAAGAAGAAAGAGTTGTAGACTGTCAATGAGATGAAAGTAAGCTCAATATGACTCCATGTTCATGAAATTGACCTACATTGCTATATAAGCTCTACAGACCTCGTAATTTGTTGGCCATCTATAGATCATTGTAGCAGGGTAATACTGATAGAAGACTTTCCCCTCTATATTGATCCATCAGGCGGTCATGTTTTTGTCCAAAATAGGAAATCATCTATCTATAAGCTTGTGACTTCGACCAGATTGCCATTGTTTCCTAATGTTCGAAGCTGTAAGTAAGTAATGGTATCAAATCATTTACAGCCCTTCCACGGAGATCCCGAGTTGGACACTCAGTCCAGCAAAGAACCATAGTGCCCTGTGGCCATGGCTTTGACATAGACTGTCCCCTAGGTGAAGAGTGGATCACACAGAAGGGTTGGATTTTGTACGCAGGTATTGGCTACAAAGGAGTGTTGCTCTGTTCCCACGCGGACTGCTTAGCTCATCCATTGTGTGCTCAATAAATGGCATGTCCAAATAATGGAAGTCATCACGTAAAATCCACTCTCTCCTAACTTACTTTAAGTAAGCCTACAAAAGGCTCTCGTGATATCGGGAATTGTCTCTCTGTAAATAAAGGAATTGTATTAGGCTCAAGAGACGAGAAGGGAGATGAATAATTTATGGCATCTATGAGAAGGGGCCATATCGCCCTAAGGATAATGAAAGAAAGGGCAGGCAAGCTTCTCAAAAGAAAAACTCTTGCACGAAAACTTCTAAGTAAACAAAAAGAGAGAGAGAGCTTGCATAGCCTGTCAAATTGTCTTACACCACACTCCAATCTCCGTTCAACTTCAAGTCTGGAACCACGATACCACGCTTTTCCTTCTCAACTTCGTCCTCCAAAGTCCAGTCTTCAAATTGGTGCCCCACCGGCAGGTTCGTGTTCTGGAAGGGGGCGCCAGACTCCAAGTGCGCGCGCGCCTTGTCGAAGTTTTCTGCTGCATAGGCTTCGGAATTGTGGGTCCATAACCATTTACCTTGACGCATCAGATCCTGAGGATCCTTCGGAAGCTCATCAGTAGGGCTGTGAAGTTCACGGCGGTTAGCGAATCCTGTACGCTGGATGAGTGTAACTCGTTGGTATCTGGATTTATGACTTGTTAGTAACCTTTATCATACCTTGAGGCCAATGCCATGGTGTTTCCATATACGCAGCAATTTGAAGACGTGATAGACAATGCACTTACCTCAGTAGCTCGTGTACTTTAGCTCCAATTGCAGCACCTTTCCCATCGCCTCCTCGGCGGAGGCACTCAGCCAATGAAGGGACCATCCTCCAGAGCCATACAGGCTCCATTTGCTGACGTTGGGATAAAGCTGTGTGCACTATCGCCAATTTGGATGATGTGCCCACCTGCCGATGTCCATTTACGTTAGGGATTGCGCATAGACAACTTCCAGCGTACAATGGAGTTTTGGGGGGCGCCCGGATGGTATTAGTGAGTAGAGTGTCCCAGGTTTCCGCATCAGGGATACCAGCCAAGACACGCCCGTGTGGTACAGTTGATGCCCAGGACTCTACAGCGGAGCCTGCGTCTTCCTGGATAGAAATTTTGTCAGCGTTTTGCAGGCCCTGTGACCGTCGAGTTGGAGTACATGCCTCTTCTCGTGTCAGAACCACTGAAGTTACTGTCTTTGAGACAACAAAAATGACGTGGAGGTTGTGCCCGTTATAGATCCGCAACTCTGGTCGCTTCTGCCCCTCCAAGGCCTTTTGGAGAGAAGGGATCTGTTCGTAGTTCTCCGCAGGGATAGTCATTCGATAACATGTGTAACCTGTGCTCATTGCCGGACAGGTTCTCCCAAGACAGCGATATGCGATTTAGACCCGATACCATCTGCAGCTACCACGATGTCGGCTTGGAAGCGGCGGCCATCTTCAGAAACAGTTATTCCAACTCCAGACGCAACATCCTCCTGGTAAGCAACAATATCGACATCCCAGGTGATAGGGATACTGAGCCTTTCGCACTGATTGTACAACATCCGGGCAAGGTGAGACCGGGCAAAAACGGATCGAACCCTCAACGGATACGCTACATGCTGAGCAACACCTGGTCTGTTGTACTCGAACTCAAACGGCCTCACAGCTAGCTCACCATTGAGGTAGAAAAACGCTGTATGAGGGTCAATTGAGATTCTGTGCCACTCTTCGAGCATACTTGGGTACTTTTGCAAGTTAGACCAGGCCGAGGGCCCGATGGCCACAATATCACCTGCAAATAAGTCAATGATGCCAATGAACACGAATGCAGTTTTCAGTTGTTACATACCGGCTTCTGAAAGGTCGGATCCTTTCTCGATAATCTTGACTTCATGCCCCTTTCTCCAGCACTCGATAGCAGCCATCATCTCCCCCCTGGCCTGCACCGACAATGGTAATATCCAGACCAGTTCGTGGATAGCGTAAGATTCCATCGACAATCACATTTTCCTTGATGTCTATGTTGTTAAATTTGTCGGCGGTAGCCATATCTGTTGAGGTCGAGAATATGAGGCGTGCTGGATACGAGATATAAAAACCTAATTTGGGGGATGTGACTCCTATTTATAATTATTCTTTGCTATGCGCCGTCACTTTTTCTTTTGCATAAATGGGAGGTGGGTTATGAACGAAATGGAATGATTCCTTGTTGCCGACATGGAATCTTGGATATCGCAACTCGAGGTAGGACCCGGTCAACTCCGGAATACCCGAATAACAATAGATCAGTTCCGAGTTACATTCTCTGATCGAACTAGCGGTCAGCTAGTTTGCCACACCTATGCCGTTCATAGTAACGTGCGACACATAGATAGGACAAAGACTCTGTGTGAGTCTGTTTAGCCTTAGCCCATTGAGCCTACAAAAGATCGAAACCTTCATTGCTCGATGACCTGAGGAATGACAATATATACTGGGAGTGCGAAAAGCACAGCGAATATCCAGTGTTGTGGATCTAATATGAGGTTGATGTAGTATGAAGAGCCGAAGCTAAACTTGATCCAAGTTAACTAAGCCGACATGCTGTCTATCAAGGGAAGACCTATGTGGTTATGCAGGTGTAAACAGACCCACGTAGCTAGCGTATATATAAATATCGCGAGTAATTTACGAACTGTATAACGTATATAAGTCAATACTAATAGTAAGGCCAGAAATACAAGCTTATATATATCCTAAAATTATCTCCAAACCCCCATAACACCATAACACCGGGGCACCTTCGGATCAATCTTTTAGATGTGGTCCAAAGCTTCGAGAACCACGGACCTAGCTTGCACAGGCTACACCCGAAAACCACCGCTGAGTCAGCGGTCATAGACTGGCATTTGGACACGGTCTAAGCTGATTGGGTGCTCCACTAATCCTGATTTGCCAAGATCTGGACCTTATGTAGAGCCTCATTCTTCGCTTTATCGCTTTTTAACACGAATGGCACCGAGACCTACCCCCATCATAGCTACACATGGATCATGATATAATACAAAGCCACTCACTAACCACGTCTCAGATAGATGATTCAGCTGAAGGTAGTAAATGGACAACTAATAGGGTAAGATTATGAACACAGTAATACCCTGTATATCCTGTCTATCCTGTATATGTACCTCCTATACGGGCGGGATCAATCGTTCCCTCCCCGGCTACCCCTTTTATGGCTCCTCGAATTCAAATCATCTAGAGTGAAAGGGGGCACGGGAACGAATAGGGTGTGATTATCGTAGCCATTGTACGTCGGAGACGAAGATCGATCTCGTTCATAACGTTCTCTATTACCGTCGCCATAATCCTCTAGCACGGTCCTTCGGCGGTGCCTCCGACGCTCGCTGGAATCATTCGAATGTGCCTGACGTGATGCCTCGGGAAGGTCTCGGGATGCCATTGAGTGAACCGAAACGTTTTCGGAAAGCAATCTCTCATTGGCTAGTCCTCTGAATGCTGAGTTTCGTATGACTGTGGACTCCCGAACCCTCCGTGTCTGGGTCGGGGCACGTGAAGGATCCGGGCGTTGACGCGCTATGGCTGCCCGTGCTTCAGCGACAGGCTCTTTTTGGATCTGCTGAACGATGAAGACCATGGATCTTGTGCTGGCAATCCATTTTATCTTATCAATGTTCTGAGCCGTATGATTCATTCCGTCGACCAATTTGGTCAGAGCCTTGTTTTGGCGTTTTACCATCTTGTTCAGCCGATTTCTGCAAGTTGAAGGATCTTTTAGCCAAGAACAATGTCTAAGGTCTTCTAGGGATATTTACATCTGATTGAGAAGCATATCGTAGTTTTGAGCTGTTGCTGAAGATTGCGACAATTTCGAGAGAGAGTTGTCGAGGGCCAAAAGACACGCCAGTAGGGTGAGACTGTGTTTCACAGTGCCAAGTGTGACCAGTAAAGTCTGTCCCTCATGCTTCGTAAAATGCCACCGAACCTTTGCTATAATTTGATCAAGTTGGCCAGGTCTACCGTTTTCCATCAGAGGCTTGAGTTTAGTCGTCATGTGGTCAATTTGCTCGTGAGCCGAAGTGACCTGAGACTGCAACGCTTCATCAAGTCGTTTTTGACGGGCCAGCTCTACCACTTTGCTTTTGATGGGCCGACAGATGTCGTCAAAAATTTCAGAGAGACTTTGACAAGCGCTTGCCTCGTCTATCAGCTGACGCACTTCTTGTTTCGCGAATTTGAAATTCCTGTAGAGTCGACGAAGGCTGGAGATACATGCTTCCAGCTGATTGTAAACAGCAATTACCGAAGCTGCCCCACCCAAGGCTTCCATAGTTTCAACTGTTCATCAAAATGATCAGGTGTCCTCTCCGTCCATTTAAGTGACCTTTGAGAAGGATATGTGACTCTGAGGGCGCCGGCATTCATAAAATACTAGCACTGCGAGGCATCCAATTAGGCAAAGCCACGATATTGCAGATGAGGGCCGAGTAGGTGCATATTCTACAGCAAGATCACGATCTTAGCCAATGAAGAAATTACCTCGTTAATATGCACTCTGTCAACTCAGATTTTCGCTCCCTGGCATTACTTCTAGTGAAATGCACAGAGGTCTTGGAGTCGCTACAAGAAACAAAAAATCCAGGTTTTCACTAGCCTCCCGCAAAGTATAGTCAGACACGTTATAAATCTCCATGGCTAATTTATCCTAGAGCCAAGACCTCCTAGGAATCGATTGTCTAATCTAGCCTCACCCGACTAGTTGATTCATAACAGGAGTGCCCTTACAACCCCACTTTCGATTGTCTTTGGTAGCTTGTGGGGCTGAGGCTCTGTAACCTGTATCTGCGCTTGCGAGATAGCTGATTCAATTAATCCACGACATGTCTGCATGCTTAGCTCCTCAGCTTGCATTGTACCATGCCCATACACACAGATACAATCGCTGGATTTGTCCAACTAATGACGCCATTGAGACTAGCTGCCATACCCGTACCAAGCTAAGGATTCTAACAGACAGCGGATGGCTGTGTTCAAGAATCGAGGCTCAATCATTTGTGCCATGCGATTTTCTGACTTGGTCATCTGCGATACGAGTCAGAGCGGGGTGCGTCTTATTCGAATGCACTGGGCGCCGACTGTACCCGCGTGTCATCGCTTTATCCTCTTAACGTAACTTTAGACCATCTCTCATTCACCATCGACTTGATAAGACAGAACACTCAAATGGTTCAGAGCAAGTTTCAAGCCTCTCGAAATGAGGCTGGGAAACTCAAGGAGAATAAGTGGCACTGCCACTGCGGCGACGTAAACAGCTATCTCGCGTCAAAAATGGACCAGAACAGGGGAGATAAATGTAAGTTGGCATTTGTGCCTATGAGAATGTTTATTAATCACAAGGATAGTCCTGCAATGTCCCAATACAACAGCCTGTAGTTTCTTCCTATAGGAAAAGGATGAACCCACAGCATGGGTGCCAAAGTCATCACGTTGGGCCTCTCAACCAAATCGAAAGCAAGCCACATTATTCCCTACGCCGGGGTCCGGCGATTGACGACTGATTAATACCCCGCTTCGCCTCTATCCACGCAGTTGAGAAACAAGGCTAACTATCCGCATATACCAGATCCTACGTACCACGTCAGACAATAGGAAGTGACAGGGAGACGCCGGAGCCTTGTGCTGAAAGTAGGGCTGTGGTTCCTTGGAAGGTGTTTGTTAGTCTGCCTCGTGCGGCTCAGTATAGTTTGCCTAGCCAACACCACATCAACATCATCCCAGAATTATAGCCATCGCAAGCGTCAAGGTGTCCATATAGTTTTCCACGCTCTCGGATTAGCATGGCGCTGCTTGGTACACTCGGGGCAGTTCCCCTCATTCTAGGACTCTTGGCAGATACGCTACCTCACTCTGTCTAAGCTTGATCCCTCGGCCCAGGTACTTCAAAAATTGGAAATCATACCGTCGTTCATCGCAGGTTACTTAAGTGTAGCTAGCTTCATTTTCTTCCTCATAGTTCGCGCTCTCGGTTCTGGCATACTCCGCCAGGCCTAAGAACATCTTTAGCCTGGAAAATCAATATATGCCTCATCGGCCTTGATAATGTTCCCGCGCTTTCCGAAATATTTTCTTTTGGCAAGGGTCCTGATGTAGGTTGACTGTGCCACGGTGCATTCCGAGAGGGAGAATAACACTAGGTAATCCAGGCAAGGATAGCTATTGGCGGAGAAAGCGCTAGCTTCCACCCTTCTGCCCCCTTATGCATTGCTTGCGTGTCTGTAAGTAAGCACAGTTCAATTTTTAAAAGGCGCCGATCGAGACCTATTCGCCTGACAAGGGGCTTGATTTCTGCATAATAATGGATACCGATTACCACGTTGCTCCACAGTTCACCATGATCTGTCTTTTTCCCCGCTGTGGCGCCCTAAAAGATCTGGTCAGAAACCCGTTCATGCAAAGGCCAATTTTTTTTTCATTTAGTGCAATTGGCACATTTGAATTGTAGTCAACTTATCCAAAGCATGGATGTTTTAAATGTGTGATTGGTTCACATGTATGGACCTAGGCAGTAAAGGAAAGCCCCATCAAGGCGAGAATATCAGGCGTATCAGGTCCCTTGAAGTGACCGAGACGGAACTGACAACGCAAAGAAATTATTTGATTCTCTAGTAATTAAAGAACATATAAAGCCGTAGCTCTTTCATGTAAACTAGTTTGTAGAAGTCGCCTCGTGGATTCATTCATATCCACTTCATGGTTCCGCACAAAAGACATTCTCCTTTGGCGCGTCTGACGAAGTCACTTATCGCTATGAACGGTCATTCCGAGTCATCGAGGGATGTGCAAGTAAGTCAGGTGCACTCAACCTTTGAGAACAAATTAGCTCCTAACTATATATGGGGAATAAAGCAAAACACACGGCAATTACGTCGACAGAGACGACGCCAAGCACGACCCAGTAATATCGACATGACTGAGGAGAGTAGTGACGAGGCTAGCCTCAAAGGCGCAAACCACAGAGTTCCCCGAGAGCCTGTTGAGCGCCTAATCACATTGATCAAGTTCCTGGAGTCCTACAATAAGGAGGTGGAACAGATCGAGTCCGCTCTAGGAGAGCTGCCGCAGAAAGACGAGAAAATACAACGCCTTTCCGCCAAAGTCAAGGAGTTAGAGCACTCCAAGAATGAAGAGTCCCGTGTGGTTGAGGAAGAAGAACGTCGGTTGATGGAGCTGCAAAACAAGCTTAACGAGGAGAAGGCATCTCTTCAAAAGTCTCGCCAAACGCTAGATCAAGAAAGCAAAAATTTGGAAGGAGAGAAGCAGCGCCTCAAGGCTGACGCACTTGCTAAATATGAGAAAGCCATAGCAACAGAGAGAAAGAAACTAGAGGATGAGTTGCAGACGCTAATAAAGCAGAATGAGAAGGCCACGGCTGCGAAATTTGAACAGGCTGAACGGACAATTCGAGAACTGCAGGGCCAAGTCTCAGCTCAAACGGAGACCAAAGAAGACACAGAAAGAACCCTCACGCTATTCAAGGCCCATACGAAGCAGCTAGAGGACCAGAAAAAGGATCTTGAGGCCAGGTTCAAGACTCAAGATTCCCCGTTGTCAGAGTTGTAAGCAAACTCTTATACGCTTCGTTGATTGAGAATTACTGACTCTGCTCTTAGTGAGGAGGACTTATCCAAGATATCCAAAGCCCTCAAAGCAATCGCACATGCCTATTTCGGAGACCTTCCGTTAGACGATTCTGTAAGTTTGACGCCCACCGGTATATTTAACCTATATCTTACATTTAACAGGATATCGACCAGTCCCAACGTCATCTCCGTGCCAGTGACCCAATATTCGAATTTGTCCCTCTAACTGCTTCGGTTACATCTAAGTACCTTCGAGCCCGGGCAGCACAGACGGTCATCACAAAGGCTATATGTCATTCTCTTTGGCAGCATTTTAGCGGATCGAAATTGCCCCTATCTCCAGATCAAATTTCCGCTTTCGTTCACATTTCGGAGGCACTTGCTCGCCGGGATCGCAAAAAGGAAAACGTGTGGCGGTATCTCACCTACCAAGGCCTTGATGTCGCTTCTCTTCCGTCTACCAGGGATAGCGCCGCTGATAATCAGCTCGTACTTCAGGAAACTAAGCGTCTTTCTGAGCTTCTTGGGGTCCTTATTCCCCAGCAGAAACTAAAGGAGTTTGGGCGTGATCTAGGGCGTCTTCTCTCAGAATGTGTGCGCTTTTGGAACAAAGCAAAGAGGGATAGTTGCATCGTTGAATTTGATACCGACCCCCCCAAATTGGGTAGTTCAGGCTGGCTCTCAGAGCCATGTCCCGAGCTTGATTATGTGGAGGGCAGCACCGAGCAAGGACGTGACGAAGTGCAAGCTTGGTGCTTATTTCCGCGCATTACGTTCAAACCCGTCAACGAGAAACCAAAGGTTGTCGCGGGAAGTGCAGTCTTCAGTGATTGCCCGGCTTTCCATGAAGGTTCGAGTGAACTTAAGCGGCAAGAAGAACAGCTTGCACAGTGGAAACGCCAGTTTGCCCGGCAGCCGTCTGTCTCAAAGGGACGATAGTAAACTTAGCCTTTTACCCCCCCGCCCTTCTTTTTCGTTTCTTTTCTATTTCGTTTCTGTTTCTTGTCTGTTTCTTTTTTGTTTCTTTTTTGTTTCTTTGCTACTTTCCCTCGTGTCTTTTCAATGGGAGAATGTGGAGGATGGCTCTGTGATAATTTGAAAATAGGAAGACTGGAACGCAACTTATATCAAATTACTCGCACTGAAGAGTTATAATTTAGTCTCTGGTCAAATATCTGCTGAATGCAACCGATTGGAATTTCCTTTTTTTAGAACTTCGCGTCTCAGTAGATGCATAGGTTAGGCTCATGGAATTCTCCGGCTAAACATTTCGAGTAATAGGATTATATCCTTTGAGGCCCCTATAGATCTAGAAAAAGCATCTCACATAGTGAGTGCCACAAAGCTAACCATGTAATAGATACGTAGAATCATGTCCAGACAGGTCCGAAGCCTGGAGATGTGGGTCCATGGTTGGGAAGCTGTAGCCACAAGGCCTTGATTTTAGGCTCCGTGATGAGAACAGTCGACTTAAGGCCAAGTACTGACGGCTGGGGACGAAGATTTATATTGGACGGACGTCCACAGCTTCTAGTCTAGGTGGGTTTTGGAACTGTTAACGATCTTCGTACGGCGGATTAATTCAAGCACCGTATTTCGATCATTATAACGGGGGTTTACTGTAGGGTAGGGTATTAGGCGGTCAAGGGGCAGCTGGTAGAAAGGTAGCCGTTTCGGGCCAGCGTCGATCTTTAAGCAGTTCTTTTTGACAACTCTTAGTAGTCCAATATATGAAGCAAAATACATGTGGCTGCCAAATCTAATGCTGTGACGAACTTTTTTTATATGAAGCTTCTAATTTCCCTAAAATCCGGGTGTATACCATTCACAATTTCCCTGAGTAGTACCTAGGGCTAATACACAACAGCCACACCTTGTTCTGATGGACCCACTTGGCGTGACCCACTTGACACAACCTTAATCCCAAAGACCTTTGAACATATATGTATCACATTAGTCTTGTCTAGTGAATAATTGCTTTGGTGAAGACGAATGAGTGGTTCTACTTTGTCAATGCTCACATTTGGTGATCATCAGGGCTTCCAGATCTTTTCGACTATGCTCTACCATTTTGTTTTCCTGTACTTTTCACGGCCTGTTGGTCTCCTAATTAAGATAGCATTCCCCCAAAAATGTTGTTTTCAGGTAGTTGTATCGAAATTGAAGCGGCTTTTGGTTGTCTATAGCCTGTTTCATGGGATCACATTGGACCAAGTCTTCCATCAATTCAACACTTCCAAGTTTGAGGGTGCGACAATGTATGCACCCTGAGAGGAACAGCAGTCACTGACATAATGGACCGCAGCAGATTAGTTGTGGGGAGTGCGTGATGGTTGGTGTCAGAAATAACAACGCACTAGGACACATAACCTCCACACCAGCAAGGTCTCTTGCGTCAGGACTAACCAATAGCAAATCTAGGCCTAATTGGGAATATGTAGCTGCTCGTACTAATTCTCCTCTTCATCCTCGTCCTCACCCTCTTCCATGCTCTCCCATTCATCTTCACTGTCGCTCTGTTCGAAATCCGCGTCGCCAAGCATGCTAAGCAGTTGTAACAACCCTGCATGTGTGCGCGAGGGGTCCTCAGATGGCAAATTTGGGCCGGGGCCACCAAAAACCCCGTTATCCGCCATTGAAAACTCATCCGTACCGCCGGAGGCAGAGGAAGGGTTATTATGGAGGTTAGGGGCCAGGCTAAGTATGCGGATAACTTTTGTGGGAAAGACGCGAGGAAGATCTCTGCCTCGTGGTGGAGGTGCTCCACCTGGAACGTTGGATTCACGCCAGCCAAGGGTCTGCAATTTCTGACGTTAGTTTTTCTGCTTGAAATTTCTTCTTTTCATGTTCATAGATCTAAAAAAGAGCTCACGGTGTAAGTAGTCATAATAGCATCATCAGCCAACGCCATGTAACTGATCGGCACAGCAAGCTGCGGCGCAGAGCTGGTGAGCAATGAATACGAAGCACGAGCAGGGTTCTCCAAATTTTGAACCCTGTCATTGTCATCAAGGGCGACGACATAGATCCGATCTTGAATTTCGAACATCACACGGTGGTTGCGGATTGATAACCAGCCACCAAGGTCAAAGCCCGCCCCGTCTGATTCACATTCCAAGATTGAGCTATTTGCTGCGAGACTAGCTTCGTCACGGAGAGCCTTGCGGAAATCAGGGCATATGAAAACACGACCAGCGCGAGAGAAGCCCACGAAGAGATTGCCGTGCAACATTCCCGCTCCCCATTCATCCTCCCTGTACCAGACGTGATTTGGGTCATCTGGTGGTGACAGTGGGCCTTTGGCAACCTCAATTGGCACCAAACAATCTTTTCGGAAAGCCCCGGGTGGGAGGGGTTGAGGTCTTGGGCCAAGTCGTGCAGCGCCTGCTAGTGCTGCACTCATAGAAGCAGAGGCGGCTTGGGGAGGAAGAATGTGATACTTTTCTGTCAACTTTGACGGCTTCAACGTGCCTAAAAATGCACCAGACTCCTTATTGTAGGCAAAATAGCCTTTTGCTCCCATCGAATAGATCACAATATCTTCGCTTTGGTCCAGATGACCAATTCCACCTCTCTCGATCTTCAAATGTGTGGTCAACGTCGGGGGTCGCTGTGTCATATCATACACAAAGCCCTGACCCTCGTTAGAGACAACACAGAGAGTCCAGTAGGACAATTGGAATCCTCTCGTCTGACAGTCATGGTTCAAGATAGCGATGCGCCGGAATTCTCCACGCTTTGCACCTTCTTGATCCGTCTGCCAAACCTCGAGCGAATCTCCTTCACTATCAAACACGGCCATTCCATCCTGATACTCCAAGTGTGCGTGTTGGCGAACTCCATCTCCGTCGGTGTCCTGCGCCGGAGGGAGTTGCCAGAGGATACGGCCCGTGTCCATATCAGTGACGTTCAACCCGCCAGCATGGGAGGTGGAAACGAAAAAGCGGCGCTTGAAGTCGGCACGGAATCGCCAAACAGGATCATTGCCGATTTGTAGCACCGATTCCTGGCTGACTGGATCTGTCTTGGCCCAATTGCGGGCCAGCAGTGTTTGGCGTTTGCACAGGTCTTTCCATGATTCTGTGCCCTCGAAAACTTTGGCAAAGCTGTGGGCATCGGAGAGGAAGGAGAAGTCCCGGCTTCCTCCAAGTGGCTGGGCGGTTTTGGCTTCGGATGTGTAAATAGCTTCTTGGTGGGTGACATCAATAAACTGATGCCAAGCCTTTGAGGTGGCGGTCAGGGACGCGAGGCCGGAGACGGGTGTGAAGTGCAAGATTTGCAGGACAATCTCTGGAGGCAGAACGGTCAGGGGGTCCGCCACAAATGTATTGGCGGTCATATTCTCAAAGATAAAGCAACGCAAGGTTGTTGCAGAAAGCAAATTAGATGAGGTGGGGGTTCGCAATATTTTGTCGTTCTCCACTATATTCGATGACGTAGCCATTCTTAAATCCGTAGGCACAGCAAATAGTCTCCAGGGGAAGTCATGCCCTAAATTTAAGCTTAATTTATTTGACATGCCCAGGTCTCACTCCGCTCGCGCTCAGGTCCTCCAAGTATTAGATCCTTCCCAGCCGAACCTCCGCTGCAATGCCTGCCTCATCTCAAGGTCCCTCATTCGCTCTTCCATGTCCCGAACAAACTCCCGCGGGTCTCTATAGCGTTTTCTAAATTCGTTCACAAGAATCGGAATAACCTCCCATCCAACAAAGAGCAGCAGACTAGCAAACAAAGCAAACAATTGATCTTCTTCGTTAATTGACTGGGGGGCACATGGCATGAAGAAACATGAATGTGATGCTTTGACACTGCGAGTCACATAAGCCACAAAAGCATACCAACCACTCGCACATCCAACCGTGATAAGCCAAAACAATGGAACTGCAACCAGTAGTAACCCAAGGCAAAACGGTGCTAGTGGTAAGAGCCCAATGAACCATCTTGAATCTTCTGTGACATCGATCATGATAATCGAGATTGACACCATAAAGAATGACACACAGGCCAAAAGTCGCGCCACCTTGACCACAATTCTTGATGCGATTACTTTTCTAAACACGCGTCTCAACAGTCTATTCCATGCTTGTCTCAGCAGTCCAGTGAATACGCTGGGTAAAAATGATATGTCGAAATAGCTGAGCAGCCATACAGAGAACGGCATAATATAATAGGGAGTGCCAGCAGCAACAACCAAATTAAGGTCATAAGCACCGCTGTGCATTCCGTACCAATATAGCACAGGCACGTCCATAGTCCTAATAAGAGCAACTGAGTGCATGAGCGCAAGGGAGGGCAATATCATTCCAAGGAAGAGTGTCCATAACCGATAACGTTGAGTCACTGGATTTTCCAGTAACACCATTGCAAGGAGATACTGCATGGCGCCATGGAACATTCCCCAAAAAGTGACATTGAACGCCGCCCCAATAGAACCTTTCAAGCTGCCTAGATCTGCAGCGTAGGTCAAGGAGTCGCTTGGGACACGTCGAGCCATGCGGATTCCACGAAAAAGACCAACCGCCGCCCAGTTGGTGCCAAGCAAAAACAGCCATGTATTTGGATCAAATCTCTCTTCTGAAGCTCGAACGACCCTCCACCATGATGCCATGATTGAGAGAAGCCATCCTGCCCAACTTCCTGATCCATAGAACCCGCTCACATTTCCAATACCAAGGACATCAGATGGTTCAGATGTGACATCTAGATAAAGTGGGATTCCGCTGTCATAATGTTGCGTGCCAGGTGAGGGAGCCGCATCGGATGAGGAGCTTGTCCTGTCGGTCGATGGTATAGACACCGTGTTATCTGAAGCTGGAGGGTCAGTGGTGTAGCTTTGTTCGGCATGAATAACTGGTGTTGGGCCTGAACCCGGTTCTGCTCTTGTTTGGAGTACAAGTCCGCATGTTGTCGATATGGAGAGGAAAGACAACAGTACAACCATCCAAATCACGACATATGTTGTAAGCAAACACTGAGGATCAAAAGACTGGGGATTGGGGCTATCCTTGATAAAAGGTGTCTCAACCTTTTGTCCTTTTAACTGCTAAATACCAATCGGGGCAGTGATATGGGAAACGGATTTCTCGCCTCGGTCTGGAACTCTCGAATAATCGGGCTGTGCAGGCATCAGCAGCCACCGACTACGCTGTGGCGTTGACTACATAACAAGATAGTATATCCCCTCTCCAAAATTAACCATTGTTGTATAATGATCAGGTAATATGGGAGGTTGACCAAAGGTGGGTTTTGCTGTACCCCGCAGGTACAAGCAAGTACAAGCGACAACCCTGCATAGATTCACCAAATGTCCCGTCGCTTGGCAATCCAACGAGGCTGAGCGCAAAGCAGTCCAGTTACGAGAATTTATTTCATTCCCTCCCCATACCCCTCATCAATCATGGGTAACGAGACCCTCCAACAGTTCGCCACCCTCGATCTCGATTACTTAATTATAGGCGGAGGTACCGCAGGTCTAGCTGTTGCTGCACGACTCACTGAGGACCCTGAATTCCGTGTGGGAGTCATCGAAGCCGGCCCATCGGTCTTAAATACGGATGATAATGGTGCGATCAACGTTCCTGGTCGTTATGGTGAAACCATCGGCTCAAAGTACGACTGGAAATTCAAAACTACCCCACAGCCGGGCTTGGGAGGAAGATCACTACCATGGCCACGAGGTCGTATATTAGGCGGCACAAGTGCGCTCAATCTTATGGCTTGGAATCGCGGTCATCGCAAAGATTATGATGCTTGGGTGGAACTGGGGAATGAGGGGTGGGGATGGGAAGATCTCCTGTATGAGTTGACCAGTTTGCTAAAATTCGGGTTCTATTTTGAACCCCACCTGCTGATCTGTGAGATACTGAATTCCCTTGCAGGCCCTTTTTCCGCCGCAGCGAGAATTTCCACCCACCAAGTGCCGCTCATCAGAAATATTACCAGTCTTCCTATGATCCCCAGGCAAATGGAATGAAGGGCCCTCTACATACAACCCACACCAAGCAGTATGGCCCCACACACCAATATTGGCATGAGACGCTCAATAGCCTCGGGGTTTCATCTACGCAGGATAGTCTGGCAGGCGATAATACAGGCGTCTGGAATATGGTCTGCACAATTGATCCAGATAGTCAAGAGCGCAGCTACTCTGCCTCTGCATACTATCATCCCATTGCGAAACGCCCGAACTTGCATATACTGACCGAAGCAACTGCCATGGAGATCCTCTTTGAATCCGAATATGATGAGTGGTACGCAACAGGGGCTCGAGTACGCTGGAACGGACTAGAAGCAAATATCAAAGCGTACGAAGAGGTAATCATCTGTGCCGGTAGCGTGCAATCACCGCAACTTCTGGAACTATCCGGCATTGGCAATCAGGACGTGTTGGAAGCTGCTGGAATTGAGACAAAATTCCACAGTCCCAACGTAGGAGAGAATCTACAGGAGCATATGAGTATGAAATATAAACAATGCTCCTCATGATCTTGACTGATGTTTAGAAGTGACTGCCACCATCTTCGAAATACCCTCCACGATCCCCACCCGTGACGACATTCTCAAAGACCCAATTCAGCGTGAAGCTGCAGACCGCGCCTATTATGCTTCTCAGACCGGGCCTTGGACTGTGATGCCCTGTTCGGTGGCATACTGTCCGCTTTCGAAGATCCTATCGCCCGAGGAATGCGATGAACTACACACCCAGGCTAAAAAAGTCGCACGGGACACAGGACGTACACATGACGCTCTTCTAGCCAGTCAATTTGAGTCCGGTCAAGCTCGCGGTCAAGTCGAGTATCTCTTCGATCTGGGTAACTGGAGCCCATATTTTGTCTCTGAGCCAGGAAAGAAATACGCCACAATGCTGCAAATGCTGCAGTACCCTTTCTCGCGCGGATCTATCCATATACCCCCTATGAGCGAAACCAATTATGAAAAGGCCACAATTGATGAGAAGCCCACGATTGATCCGCGATACTTTCTGGGACCTGGGGAGATTGATAAGAAGGTCATGGCCAAAGCACTCAGATTTGGAGATCGAATCTGTCAAACCGAGCCTTTGGCCAAACTCATTCGCGGTCGAGTCTTTCCTCCTCCTGCAAATGGGGTAATGACCGAGGACGAAGTATACGAGGATTTTGTTTCGAATTATACTGTCACCGACTGGCATCGTATGTTCCCCCTCTCAAATCCATGGCTTCAACAAATCACTGAATATACATATAGCAGTTGGAACCTGTGCTATGGGTGAAGCAGATGGGATCAATGCTGGAGTTGTGAATGATATGCTACAGGTGCATGGAGTGCATTCTCTGCGAGTTGTAGATGCTAGCATCATGCCATTGCAGGTTGGAGCACACATCCAAGCCACTGTGTATGCGATTGCCGAAAAAGCAGCGGATATGATCATTGATGACTTTTTCGCTCGAAATGGTCCGCTATGAATCTCATGAAGCTTGCATTCAATGATAATATTTTATCCAAATGGCCGTGCCAATATCTTGTCCGGCACTCACACTCTAAGAAAGACAACTGTCACAACAGCATGTCCACCCATTCATATTTTTCAAGTTGTTATAGTTACACACATCTCGAGTTTCGGAAATATCGTCTCAGACCAACTGGAAAGCATCCGGTTCTACCGGACTGCTTCATACTCCATCGTCACCCACGTCTGTGAAACATAGACTGCGCACACAAGCGACCTTGGCGCTGTCCACTAGACGAGGATGGCCTGGGGGATTTCTTCAACAACAAACACAAATACTCGGATGGCTAGGATCATGCCTTAAATAAAGAGATCGGGGAATGAAAGCAGAACTCCCCGACCTTCGGCTAGAGCCGACGTTATCTCTCCTCTCTTATGAGGAGCATATTTAGTCCGAACAATTGCGACATGGAATTAACTTTAATCGGATAATTTTCCAGACATTTAGTGGATATCGATATCATTCACTAAGCTAACAAACCCAACCTCCACATTGTGTAGTAACCGTCGTCATACTATTTGTTCCTTGACTCATCTCTCATCCGACACGGAAACTGATTCCCGCGTGGCCTGAATATATACCAACTCGTCTCTCTCAATCAAACATAATCACACATACATATCCTCTACCATACGTCATGATTTCCGGAATCGCCCACATCAACCTCCCAATCCCTCGGGGTACATTAGACCAAGCCGAGGAGTTCTACGGGACCACCCTCGGACTCACCTCAGCGCCGGTACCGGGGCTCCAGAAGGGAACAATTCTATGGTATTAAAGCGAACTATTTCTCAAAAAAAAGAAAAGAAAAGAAAAGAAAAATATATCTAATATTGTTAACAGGTTCGATATCGGCTCCAGCGGACAACAAGTGCATATTAGCTTCGGCGCGACTGATCCCCAAGCTAACCGGCACCCATGCTTCAAGCTGTCTTCGCGTGAGGAACTGGAGGAGATTAAAGCAAGCATCTATGACCACCATGTGCGTGGTGGTGCCGCAGCCCCAATGGCGGCTGATAAGCCCGGCGATGTAAACTCTGGTAAGAGATTCCTTGGATATATGCTGCGTATGACAATTTGCTGATTATCCCGATAGGCGCTCAAGGGAAAGAATATCCCACGCGGTTCTTCGCTCGGGATTTTGCTGGAAATCGACTTGAGTTTACTATTTGAATATTATAACCTCTAGCTATATGCGTTTGGGAAGCTTAGTATTTTAAAGAATTACTCGTGCTCGCTTTTACATACGTATAACTCGTTCGATCTTACCGCGCTAGTTACAGGCGTATAGAGCGAAGTAAGATAGATCTTTACTTATTTAGCCTAATTCGTAAAGAAGGGGCTTCGAAATCTCCCCTTATAATCGGACTAGAACGTGGCTAATAGAGGGGTACTGGCGGCTAAGATAGCGGCTTCCTACTCTTTTATATAATACGGGAGATAAAAGCGCGGAAGCTAAGACGGGTGCTAAATACGATGTTTAAAATGATAGATGAAGTTTTGCATTGACCCGTGAGGCTTAGCATCTGATCGCAAAACGCCACCATCAAATAGAGACTAGAGTGGCTAAATTCACTAATTCTAATAGGGTCCTAATAAAGAACATAGCCCCGTAAAGATGAAATGAAATGGATATCTTCCTAATTAGGCAAGTCAAGTGGTTTTGCACGGGCGTGCGGGTCTCCGCGTTCTCAACTGAACCCCGCGTGAGGCCTAATGCCCGGGGCTTAGGCCGTTGGGCGAAAGTAACTGAATAATCAGCCTCACCTGGGCAGAGCCGTCAGCTCATAGCTCGTATTATACTATGATATGACACTAATTCGGTTGATATTTGTATAAATACCAGCCTTTTCACCCCTCTAAGTCTTCTCATCCAAGTTAAACAATACTTGCTAATCCCAATATTTTATCATCCCAACTCCATTCCATAATGGCTAGCCAAAGCAACGTCCGGGATACCTCCACTCTCATCAAACGCAACGGAGCCGACTACTCTTCAGGCAAGAAGACAGAATTAATAGACTGGCTCTTGGCGTTAGAGCAAAAAGAAGGCGTCTTAATCGTACCAGCCACCAAGAATGGAGGCGCAACCCTCCTGAAAAACGACGATTTCCGCATCGACTATCAGGGATACTTCAACTCTAGCCCTTACCAGATCGGATGGATCAACCTCCAAGTGCAAGAGAACACCCCGAGGAAGGTAAAAAAAGCATATCCCCCAATTTTCAAATACTAGCTACAATCGGAAGAGTTGTACGGCTAGATCATACTAAGCATGATGCGGTACGATAGTCCAACACCTCCACAACCGTCATAACGACATACGTGCATTATCAAGGCTACCACCAGTCCGGACGGATTACCAGCAGTGTTATCTTGCATGCCATGGTCCAGCAGGCTATGCACAAGATCGGCGAGTACTCGGTCTTTGTATCTAAGTCTCAAGAAGGAAATACCGCGGTGAAGAACATTCCGCGGAGTCCTCAGGGTTTGCTTGAGTACGGTTGGGGCAGTTTGGAGGATGTGAGGAGGGTCCAGGGCCAAAAGTGGAATGACCCAAAGATGAAGGGGAAATGGGCTGCTATTTGGGTTCCAGGACATTAGTTGGGTATTAGGGAGGGAGCAGATATGGTCCGTACGAATTAATTATGGGTCGATGAGGGTGATTTCTGTTATGCGATGTTCTTTCATAAGTGAATTTCGATGCTTTTGGTTTTATTAATACAGTTGAATGCAACTTAATTGGTTGATGAGTACTTTAGCAGCCTTTTGTATTAGGTATTGCATCATGCCTAACTCCAAGATGTTAGAAATATTTGAGTCTCTTCATCACTTTATATTCTAGGGTTTGCCAATTTTCCTATATCAGTCGGGAAGTAAAGTCACAAGTCCTGTCTACGGGTATATATGGTTTCTCTAAACAGTCACCTCGCCATCCCCCACCTCCCCGCGATCCCTCCTCTCCCTCACAATTTCCTTCCCAAATATCAACCCCCAAAGATAATACCTATTAGCAACCTCATGACCCCCCTCCTTCAAAATCCACACATTCCCAAGGAAAGTAGTAAGCAAAACAGACAACCACATAACCGGCATCATAGCAATAAAAGCCCACATAACACCGCCCTTAGCATCCCGCTGTCCAACCCCACTCTTATTCGTAAACACCGTCGACATGATAGTCAACCCCAGCAGACCTCCAAACGGAACCGCAAACGAAGCAAGACACGAGATCTGCGCCGTCATGGCGGGGAAATACGCCAGTCCGTGCATCGACGCCGGATTCATTCGCATCCCGACTCCGTGTCCAACTAGCGCCATCATGCCGTAGATGACACTTGTTTTGCCTGCGTTCACGCCCCAGGCCAACACGGTCATTCCTACGGCCGATGTTATGCTGCCGAGGAAAAGTGCCGGGAAGGTCTGTCGGGGCCAGACGTTCGAGGAAAACATTGCCATGTACAGTCCGGCTATCCGGGTCAGTCAGAGTCGTTTCATGTTTCATGTATAGTAAATAGGTAGAGATATGCATACCAGCTAAACCAGGAAGGAAATATAGCAGTGCGATACCGGCATCGCTAGAACTCCTCCCCTCCACCAGCGTAAAATATATATCCATGAAATACATAACAGCAAACATGGCTATCCCGATTGAGAAATTGATCAGGAACAATAAGCCAATATCTCGCTGTCTGAGTAATTCCCACGGTACCATTGCCGTTTGACGCGGGAACACCCGTGCCATCGACGATCCAGGCACCATACAGCGCTCATAGACGACCCAAGCAATCGTCAGAATCCCACCGATCACTAGCGGTGCTAGGACGGCGACGGATTTCCAGGAGTAGGTACCACCCGCCCATGTCAACGCAAGAATAAGAAGACCAAACCCCCAGAGGAAGAGCATCTGGCCACCGTAGTCAATAGTTGAGATTCTCGCGAAGAACCGTCCAGAACTAGTCGAGATACCTCTCTCCTCCACGTCAGGAATAGGCAGCGGACCCTGTAACTCAGTCCTCAGAACAAGAACCACAACAACCATTGCTACAACCGCGATGGGCAGATTAATCGCGAAGCACCACCGCCACGACGCCTGAGTCATATACCCGCCGATGACGGGACCGATGCTAAATCCGATACCAGAGACGAGGGCGAATATCGTCCAGTTGACTGCGTACTCGGCGAGGGAGACGCGGTCGGCAAGGATAGTTCGGATTGAGATGTTGACGCCTGCGGCGCCGACGCCTTGCAGTGCGCGACCGAGAAGGAGGACGCTGAATGCCGATGTTGGGGCTCCTGTGCAGACTGCGGAGCCGATCATCATTATGAAGATTGCGGATTGGAGAACGATGTGACGGCCGAAGAGGTCGGTTAGTTGGGCCCAGAAGAAGAGGAAGGCGGCTGATGTGAGGTTGAAGACGGAGATGATCCAGTTTAGCTGGTTGATTGAGTCTGTGGGGGGGTTCGTGGTTAGTTGAGGGTAGGGATTGGTATTGAGGATTGTTGTCGTGTGTGACACGTACTGAAATCCTCCGCGATGAATGGTAGAGCCGAGGCCACGATCGTTGTATCTAGGGCTTGTAAACAGTATGGACTGAATAGTCCCAGGATGATCTTCCAACGGTAGACATTCTTTCGTTTCGTCTCCGCAACTTCTTCCGGGGTGCGGATCTCCTTTTTCTTTCCCTCATCAGGCTGTGGGAAATCAAGTGGTGTGTTTAATTCGATTGCATTCTCTGGTGTATTTGGCACTGCAGAATCCAGGCGTTTCCGCTCGTTTCGTTTCTTGATTTTCTTGTAGATCAGAATCATGATTTCGATGGTATATTCAAATGAGCAAGGGTGATTGATTTCGAGGCAAAGCCTGGGGAGAGTGAGCCATCTTTATACCATACTCTACCCGACTCTTCGAAGTAGGAGAAGACCAATATTTGACCCAACTCGGGTTTAGCGGACAGTCTAAGCCCAGGCCACAGCCTTTGGAGCACTCCATATTGAGATAGCTCTGCGATATCTTCATAAATGCCTATAGAGATAAGTATTACGATTGGCAGTCATTTCAAAGCTTAGTGGGGGATGATTTCAAGGTTTCCTATTCGAAGGATGGTAGTAAAAATTCCTAGTGCTCGCACTCCTATCCGTGTTGGGACATCTGCGAAGTACGGAGTATCAAAATGTCGTTTCCTGCACCTTGGCAGCTTCTATAACTGAGTAACTCCTCGTCTATTTATTTAAAATAAATGACGAGTGTTTCTCGGACAGAAATTGGGGATTTTGTTCGTTCTCTTAAAGGGGCGTAGTCGACAATATCCATTGTCAGCCTCAGCCTCAGCCTCAGAGAAATGGACAAAACAACTCCTACACTTCTTCCCTTCACCAAGTAAGTACTGACCTGCCTATATTCTAATAACTTATATTAAATGTCCACAACTACGCATTTAATAAAACGCAGATAAGCTGAATGGCTAATCAGGTAAATGGCGTAAATAGGGGCCAAGACGAATTGGAGACGGACTTAGCCTGTTGCCTAGCCCCCACCTGATACTTCGACATGTCATACAACTTCGACGTACTCTCCTTCAATCAACATCCAAAAATACAAAATACACCTACAATGGGCAATTCAACACCTATAGAACCAGCTCCCGCCTACGAGGACCTATTCCACGAGCGCGGTTCAAGCTCACGGAATGGCGTAAGCAAATTCCCGAAGGGATGGTCCAGTCCCATTAACATACTAATCTAAATGAATATATAACATACAGTATACGATGGTCGGTCAAACAGACACCACCGATGAACACCACGACGTGGAACAGGGTCACCATCTCCATGACGTCCCCGTCCCCGTCCCTGCCCCTATCGTGACCGTGGCCGATGAGCCGGTTCCACACATTCACTGTGCAGAATGTGACAGGCAACGGGAGCGCAGAGAGAGAAGGGAGAGTTCTCAGAAAGCATGTGGCATGGTTTCCAAGACCTTTATCTTGATTGCTTTGTTCATGATGATATTGGGGATTGTTATTGTTGGGGCATGGAAGGATGTTCGTTTGAAGAAGTTGCATGGTTAACTTGCTATGTTCTTAAAAGGCAGCAGAGTTCGGAATCAGCCTTATTGATATCCCATAGATGGATACATCCCCATGCCAAGACCTTTGTTGTTAGTTTCTTGTTAGTTTCTTGTTAACTAATAACTAGTTAGCCATCATAGTAGCTCCACCTTATGGCCCCCGATGAATACCCAAGTCCCCGCCTCAACGCCAACACCAACATTCAACATCACCTCTACTCTGTACTACTACTCCGTATGCGCATCGCATGAATCATCCCAAGGTAAACCTAAATCCCCCCTGCGACCCAAATTCTACCTTATCTCCACATTCGACCTATAACTAGCTCTACTTACCCCAACTGCCCTGGGCTATAAACCAAAAACTAACATGACGTTTTGCTATCAGGTTATCAGACCAGATTCAGCCATAAAAATGCTTGCCTGGCTCAAAAGCCTTTTCGCCAAATCAGAGCCCTCAGAGCCCTCAAAACCAGCCGAAGAGCCTAAACATAGAGGCAAGTCGCACAGCCGATCACATAGCAAAAGGGTTCGAGAACGAGAACGCGATCTGCGACGAGAGTGGACGGGGCAGAAGGGTGGATGGAAGAAATTTTATAATAGGGGAGGGTTTGCGGGGGTTTGTTGAGGGTGTTCGCATATTAATTGTATAGTTTTACAATTTATTATTTACTATTTACTTCTTATTTTCATTATTCATGGAGAGAACTAATCTTATTGAATAATATATTGAATATTAAGATTGAATACCAACACGAGTATATAAAATCATCCAAACCAAAACAAAAACAAAAACAAAAACACCATGCAATCTGCCACAAAATAGAAAACGAAAAACCGAGCAAAAAAAAACATTGAACCATCAAGTCATAATAGATTGCGTGTGCAAAACAGATGCGAACCCATCTAAGCGGAACTAAGGTACTTAAGCACATTCTCACGTTCCTCAACAGGCAACATAGAAAGCACCTGTTGCACACCGCGGAGACCACCCTCCTTGTTGCCAATAAGCAACTGAGCAACTTCAGACGCAACGCCATCAGTGCGCAGCGACTCAACCTTGCTCTGAACAACCTTCTTGTTCTCCTCGTACCAAGTAGCAACCTTGTGGTCATCGTGCTCGAGTTCCTCGTCCAGCAGACCAGTCCAGGCGTGCAGGGTGCGCAGGTGCGCAGCACGAGGGGACTCGCCGAAAGCATCGACGCCGGGGGCAAGGGGCGCCGAGGCGGCGACCATGCGCTTGACGATCGTCTCTTCGCTGAGACGGCGGCGCAGACGCCAGTAGAAGAAGCGACGGGAGTTGATCCACTGCAGAGGCTTGCGGATGGTGTCCTTGGCTTGCATGCGGCCGGCGCGGTCGTGCAGGTCGGCGAATTGAAGCGCAATCTGCATGTACACGGGCAGGAGCTGCTCCTCGCGGGCGGCCATCTTCGCCTTGACTTCGCTGAGTTGTTCGTTGGTAAGGGAGGTGTCGGCCAGGGAGCGGCGGAGCTCGCCGTAGGTCGCGTCCAGACGGGCCATGGTGTCCAGCTGCTTCTCGCGGCGGTACTTGATGTTCACCATACCCTCGGGCTCGAGGACACCACCACGGGATTCTTCGTCGGCGTACATCTCCATCTGATCGGGGTTGATGGTGGGGTCGACGACGACCCATGATCCACCACGGAGCTCACCGTGGGGAGGAATGTACACGAAGATGGGCTGCTCGTAGTTGACGAGAGCGTCGACGATGTACGAACCGTACTTGAGGACCTCGTTGTACATATCACGCTGGCCACCGGAGAATCCTCTCCAGTTAGCCAGGATCATGACGGGCAGCTGCTCGCCGTTGTTGAAGTCGCGCAGAGCCTGGGCGGTCTTGTAGGCCGAGTTGGGGTACCAGACACCACCAGCCTCGGTGGAGATCATCTCCATAGAGTCGGGGTTGGCGGGATCGGCAGGGGTGACATTCTCCACCGAGCGAGTCTCGACGCCGATCACACCCATCGGGATACCACCAAGGCGGGCACGACCGACAACGACGGTGCGAGCCCAGCCACCAAGGGCCTCCTCGAAGGAGTCCTTGTCGAACAGACCAGGGAGGAAGCCGTCAACGTCCTCCTTACCGCTGATGAGCCATCTGACATCGTAAGGCTGCTTGGGGGGAGGGAAGTAGGCAACGTCACGGTCCCAGCTATCCGACCAGGGGCGAATGGGGATAGGAGCATTCTTCTTGTCGGGGACGAAGGACATCCACTCAACAATCTTCTCAACACCCTCGAAGTCATCGGTGGCAGTCATGTGAGAAACACCATTCTTGTACATGATCTGGGTACCACCAAGCTGAAGGTTGGAGGTGTAAACCTCGCGACCGAGCAGCTTGTTAATGGCAGGGGCACCAGTGAGGATGATGGGCTGGCCCTCAACCTGAATGGCACGCTGGCCGAGACGCACAAGGTAAGCACCGATACCGACAGAGCGGCAGGTAACGAGAGTGATGGTGAAGATGTCCTCGTAAGCCTTGGAGGTGGCACCGGCAATGAGACCGGAACCCTTCAGACACTCGACACCAAGACCGTCCTTGGCACCGATGACGGTAGTGATCTTGTGGCGTTCCTCACCCTCATCGTTGATGAGCTCGGTGATGACCTCCTTCTTCTTGCTGGCATCAAAGCGCTTCTTAACCTCGGGAGTGAGGTAAAGGTACTTGAAACCGGCCTCGGGCTTCTCCGGGTTGTTCCAGGCAACCGAGAAGAAGGGGATAATCTCATCGGCAACACCGATGCGGGCACCCGAGTTGGCAGACAAGTAGATACGAGGAATACCCAACTTGCGGGCAAGCTCGGTACACTTGTGGAAGAACTTGTCTTCCTGAGGACCGAAGGAACCAATCTGGAAGGTGATGTCGTTGGCGATGATGATGAAACGTCTGCCGCGGGGGTACTCGGGAGTACGGGCAGTGATGATCCAACCAACCATACCGTGAGTGTTGGTACCAGGCTCGCGAGACACCTCAACAAGGTTGTCGGTGTCATCCAAAACCAACTCGCTGTAGTCAATGCACTCTCCAACAGGAGGGCGCTTCTCGTACAAGGAAGGAATCTTCTCGGCAACCTTGGACCAGCTGTTCTGGAAGGCCTGGCGGAAAAGCTCGGGGAAATCGTACACGTACTGAGTTCCCATCAAGTGAGCCTTGTAACGCTTGGGCTGCAGCCATTCCTTAGTAGGGTAAGGGGTGGCGACAGGGCGCAGATGCATCGAGCCCAGCTTGGCGGTACCACCAATGCTCTGGAAGATCCACTCGCCCTTCTCGGACTTGCGCTCGATGTACAGCTCGACGTTGATGATGAAACCGTAGGTGTTGCTGATAATCACACGCAGAGGGTAGGGCATACCGGTAGCGGGGTCGGTGCAAAGAATACGGATCTCTGCGCCAGTAACCCGGAGGCGCCACAGGCGGCGGCCGAAGCGATCGAGGAAACCGGCCAGGGCTTGCTCGACATCGACGGGCTGGAGGTTGAAGACGGGAGAGAAGTTAATGAAGATGTGGTTCAGATCAGAGTTGTTGTTGCCAATGATCTCCAAGGCGTCCAGGATGTCGTTCATGAGACGGTCAGCCTCCGAGATCAGGTACTCAGCGGTGGGGATATCATCACGCAAACGGCCGGGACGAACCACGGCACGAATGAAGTAGCGCTTGTCAATAGCCTTGTCGTTCTCGGGACCCTTGCCGATAGCTTCGTAAACGTGAATGTTGCGGTTCTCGGTGAAGACGGGCTTGATGTTGAACTTGGAAAGACGGCCAAGCTCCAGCTGGAAGGCAAGAGCGGGCTCGCTGTGACGGATACTCAGATCCTCCTCGTAGTTGGGGCCACGGAAAGTGAAGTAACCAGGATAGACACCCTGCTTGCCGCAGATGAAGGTAACACGACGAATACGACGAGCGAGGAGCTCATCCTTGTTGTCAGCGAGCAGCTGTTTCATCTGTTCAACAAGCTCGGAATCTTCCATGTCCTCAATATCGCGAATGGCAATGTTGCAGACTCCAGTGAGCTCGCTGTCACTCACGGGCTTAGGGGCGGGGCGACGCTTGCCTTCGAGGCTAGCAATGAGACCCTGCTCGCTGGGACGCTTGGCGTTGGAGCCACCGAGAGGGAAGACCTCAAGAGCCTTGGAGAGGAACTCCTCAGCATCCTCCAAGTACTGCACGGGGATGATAACACCCTTGCGGACGGGGTCACTGGAGGCGTCGCTCACGAAGAGGGACATGTCGCCGATGGAGTTGATCCGCTTAAAGGGGTTGGTCTCCGCAATTGGAGTGCCCGGGGCGGAGGGCTGGGTGGAGTTGAGAACACCGAACTCACGCTGGCCGAGCTTGCCAAGGGTGAAGTCCCAAGACAGGAAGGGCTGCTCAGTGGAGGCGTTGTATTCGATACCTTTGAGAGTGTATGCACGGTAGGCACGGCGAACATAAACTTCCAGGGAGGCGAGGGTAACCCAAGGGTCAGCGTGGACGAAGAAGCGAGGAAGAACATCGAAGACGGTGTACTTCGAGTCGACAACCTCCTTCAGGACCTCCAAGGAAGGCTCACGGTGCTCCCATCCGGTCTCACCGTAGCGAGACTCGACAACGGAAGACCGCAGAATGTGCTCCATCTGGGACAAGCGCTCATCCAGAGATGGCATAGCGCACTGAATAAGAACCTCACGGGCCTTGAGGGTAACCTTAGCGGAAGAACGAGACTCGAGTTCGGTCAACTTCTTGAGAATGGGCTTGAAGTGCGTGCCAACGTTCTCGACAAGGGGCTGGTTGGGGCGGTACATGTCCAAAATAGCCAGGACCAGGTTGTTCTTAGAACCAATGCGGCTATGAGAGAGGACAGTGTGGACAATGCTGGTGATGTCGTCCTTGTTCTCCTCGCGGAGCTTGAGAATAACATCCTCGTCGCGGAGGTTATGGGTGGAAAACAGCTTCTCAACGTCGTAGTACTGTTCAAGCAAGCCAATGAAGACATTGTACTCGTTGGACTTCAAACCATCCAAGTACTTGTTGATGACCTGAACGAGAGGCAAGAGGGTGGCCTTGAGAATCTCAGCATCGGCAGGGCCGATGTTCTCCTCGATGAAGCGAACGATGGCCTTCTGGAGCTGCTTGGCAGGGAACTCGGCCTTGCGGGCCTTGGCACGGTCAACCACGTTCTGCAGCTGAGCATCCAGTTTCTGAGGAATACGAGAGTGCAACGCAGAGGACTGCGCATTCCACTCGCCGTAGGGAAGATCGGGGTTGCGCAACACCTCAACAAGATCCTGCAGGGTGGTACTCATGATGACCTGGTTGTCGAAACCGCGAAGGATGTTCTCCAAAATGCTATGAAGCAGGAAGAAGCGCTGGGAGGGCTTGTTACCGAGAACGGTAGGGGAGCCAAGCTCGGGCAGCTGACCAGTGAAAGGCTGAGCGTGCTTGACGCGGGAAGGGTCATCCAGGGCGAGGATACCGAGGATGTCACCAGCCTCCAGAGTGGCACCGGGCTGCTTGATGAGCTGCACGATACCATCCTCCTTTGCGATGAGGGGCATGTACATCTTCATGACCTCGACTTCAGCGTAAGACTGACCAGAGCGGATGTGCTCTCCATTCTCAACGGTGAACTTGACAAGCTTACCGGGGGAGGGAGAACGGAGCTGAGTAGGATCGTTCTCTTGCTCCAAGAGGCAGGTCTTGCCGTCAACACTGAGACGAGTGGCAGCGGCCTCCTCCTTCCAGTAAACGTTGTGACTACGGCCGCTGAGAAGAACCAGCAAACCACCATCAGCCAGGGCGCGAACACCGACTGAGCACTTGGAGCCGTTGATGAAAAGGTGGTAGCTGTCCAAGCTGGCACGAGTAGCAGTGAACTTGTAACGCTCGCCTTCGTAGATGAAGTCGACGGGGAAAACAGTCTTCAGGATCTCCTTGGACGGGACCTGACCCTTTCCGAGACCATTGCGGTACTCCTCAATACCGGCCTCGCTAGCAAGGTGGGCCTTGGTGACGGCACCACAAATGATGGCAACGTTCTGATCGGGACGCTCAGCCGTCAGCTTGTTGGTGATAAGCTGGTCGAGCCATCCAGTGGTGATAGTGTTGTCCTCGAAAGCAGGGGTTTCGAGAAGCTTGATCAGGTATTCGACAGTGGTTCGGAAATCACCACGAATACTCAATTCCTTCAAAGCAACAACCATGTGCTTGCGCGAAGCGGATCTGTTCTCGCCGTAGGCGAAAATGTGACCGAATTGACTATCCGAGAAACTGTGGATACCACCAGCAGTACCGACAGAGAAGTAACCCCAGACGTTTGATGAACTGCGGAAGTTCAGCTCGTGCATGGTACCACTGGAAGGCTTGAACCCCTCGCCGGGATCTTCAGAGGTGATACGGCAAGCAGTGGTGTGGCCCTTGGGCTGAGGACGGCGCTGGGTCTGGAAGCTCTCTTCCTTGGAGAAGTCGAAGTCAATGTCGGCGGAGGTGTTGGGGTCGACACCGTAAAGGAGACGAATGTCACGAACGCGGTGCAGGGGGATACCCATAGCAATCTGGAGCTGGGCAGCGGGCAAGTTGACTCCCGAGACCATCTCAGTGGTGGGATGCTCAACCTGCAGACGAGGGTTCAACTCGAGAAAGTAGAACTTGTCATCGGAGTGCGAGTAGAGGTACTCGACGGTACCGGCGGACACGTATCCGACCAACCGACCGAGACTCACAGCAGCGCGCTCCATGGCCTGGAAAGTGGGTTGTTTTGCAATAGTCACAGGAGCCTCCTCGATAATCTTCTGGTGACGACGCTGGACAGAGCAATCACGACCGAAGAGGGAAATGTTGTTACCGTACTGATCAGCCAGCAACTGCACCTCTAGATGGCGAGCGTTACCAGCTAACTTCATGATGAAGATAGGCGATCCCGGAATCTCGTTGGCGGCGGCGTTGTACAAGGCGTGGAACTCTGCCTCGTTCTCGACCTTTCGGATACCTTTACCACCACCACCTTCGGAGGCCTTGACCATGACAGGGAAACCGATTTGCTTGGCCTTCGCCAACCCCTCTTCCGGGGAAAAGGTGCAGCCCTTGTTATAGACCTCGTCCTCGACTGTCACGATACCGTTTTCATCGAGCTTCACGGCGTCAACGCCGGTTCCAGACCAGGGAATACAAGGCACACCGGCATGCTGTGCAACAATGGTCGAGGAAATCTTGTCACCCAGTGAGCGCATGGCTGAAGCTGGGGGTCCAATGAAGATGATCTTCTTAGGCGACGCAGCGAGAGATTCGGGTAACCGAGGGTTTTCGGAGGCGTGACCCCTACAAAATGGGCATTAGCACTTCGTTCTTTTGGTTCTTTTCCCTCCTTCCCGATATCTCCAAACCACTTACCATCCTGCCCACACGGCGTGAACATCCATCCGCTCCGCAATATCGACAATCAACTCGACGTTGGCATAATTATTATTATTGGTTCCACCGGGAACCTCGACATATTGGTCGGCCATGCGAATATAGTCGGCGTTGGCAGTCAAATCTTCGGGCGTGGCCATCACGGTAAATTGGATAGCCCGCTCGTTGCCGAAGGTCTCGTAAGCCCATTTCCGCACTGAGCGAATCTCTTTGACAGCAGCGATACCGTTGTTGGCAATAAGCACCTAGGAACCAGTTAGTCCCATGTCCGATTTGCCCATCTTCTTTTCCGTGATCATGAGTTTTCTTTCGATTTCCTACTTACCGATGTGATGACGGAGTGACCATCGTGAGCAGCCACGAAGTCCTTCACAGCGCTAGGGGGTGCTGATTCGAGGGCATTACCACCGATGAAATGTGAGGGGATGTCCTGTTTGGCGACAGGCTCGCCGTTGCCATTTGTGATGCTCATGATGTTAATGATCACAGGTCAGACTCCCTTATAAGGAATTGAAGTAACGTTTTCGCGCGGTATCCAACAGCGCTGATTAAAAAGTCGGTAATGTACAATGCTGGAAGTGGCGGAAAGAGCCTGAGTGGTGGCTGTGGGCAGAAAAAGGCGAGGTAGAGAGGGAGAGGAAAGAAGGATAAACGTCAGGGATGAGATCTGGAGGGGAAGAAAGGCCAGGTCAGCACGAGCAAAGTCGAGAACTTGGGGCTCGAAGAAAGATAGTGTCAAATGCGGAATCGGTCTGCAGGGTTCGCAAACGGAAGTGAAAGTACGAAGTAAGACCTAGTAGCGAATGCAGTCAGACTTACCGGGAACCACCAAAACCCGAATAGAAATTTTCTAAGATTGGAATATAGAAATTGAAGAGATTCAGAACCCAAGTCCAATAATAATAAAGTCCCAGGGGAGAAAATTGCTGAGAAGATGATTTTCTAGAGGTCCCACCCCAAGTGGAGTTGATCCCAACTGGCTATGATGGATTCCCCTAAGTGACCGAAAACGCATGTATCTTTACATAATTAATACTATGGAAAGGTACTTGCCCAGGAACGAGCTCCCCCAACTCCCTGGCTTTGTTGGGCCAGGTTCCACTACAATTTGTTGCCCACCACTTCACTTCGGTGATTTGTTTTTTTTTTTGGTCTTTTTTTTTTATTGATTTGATTTTATTCTTTTCTGTTTTAATTAATTTCTTGAAAATAAAGAATTAGATAAAAACCAAACCAGCCTCTAGGGAATACTCCGTACTATTACGGAGGAATATCTCATCTATACTACCTACCTGGTATGCTCCGTACTCCGTATTCTGGATGCTTCCCCACGGGTCCCGGCACCGTACGCACCCGTGCATTCGGCACCCGATTCGGTCAGCGTCTTCGGAGAGCGATCTTCTTCTCTCTCTCACATGCAATTCAAGATGCAGTGTTGTTAATACTTGGAGATTCCAAGGGTAAATTATTTATTTGGCATATTATATTCCATACGCCCTAGGTATATATACAAAGTAAATATCTTCAATGCGATCTAGAATCTGTAATCAAGATATGCTCCCGACCTCGGGAGGTCTACGCCACTTCTAATTTGAGAATGGCACCAACGCTATCCCAATTCGGCCGACGTGCATCATTCAACATCAGCCGTGGTGTAAATTGCGTACTTTGTACAACAGAAAAATGATCGTAGACCAATCATATTCATGATCGCCATATCCCCAACTCAACCTATTCCCAAAAGTATGGATCTACGTCACAATCGAAACGAAACCTCAATTTATACCTACCTCATGTAGGTATTGTACATCATACAATGTTATTTTGTGGAGCATAAATAACAACATGGGTATTATTGAATCTTGAATGAAAAGACAATCGCTGAGACACAGCTTAGAACGTCCCCAGAATCCACCGGGGGCCACACCGCACACAGAGGAACCAGGCCTGGCTGGCCCGAGACGAGTCAACATGCAAAACTGAACAGGAAGGGATATGACCAAGGCGGTCTGCCGGGAAGGACCCCCACTCCTCTTGTAAAATGCAGTCGATCAAAGTCAATCTTGGAAGTATGTAAAACAAACGTGGAAAGATAACCCTAGCACACAAACCACCCGTTCACTAAACCCCTCCATGCAAATTGAATAAATAGTAAACGCGAAAAAAAGACGAACTAAAAGGTCTCTCCCAGGTCACTGACTTGGGTCTTCCTATTGGGCGGCGGCATGGCACCAGGTCCAATGCTAGTCTTGAAGCTTCGGGGTGCCGGGATGCCGCTGATGGTTCGTTTCTTCACTACAGGGGTGGGGGTGGTAGTCACGGGTGGCCGTTGAGGCGGTTGAATCTCCTGGGAGATGCGGGAGGTGGTTGGCGTAACAATGTCTTGGTCCTCATCGATGAGGGACATGCCAGCGATGTTAGGGAGTTGGCCGGCGTGATTGCTGAGAGATGACCGTGGCCGACGGCTCTCTGTCAGAGGGTTTGTCGAGTAGTGACCCAGTGGCGTTTTGGCTCCGGGACGACTCGAACGACTTTCGGGCCGGGCATTGACAGGAACACCCGAGTGCACGCTCTGGCTGAAGGAGCTGCGGCTAGAGAAACTAGTTCGGCTGCTCGGGCGACTCTCGGCGGTCCGTCCAAATGACTGGCGACCCTGCGGGGGGTAAGATGGAGTGCTTTCGCTATCCCGCGCGGAGGAACCGAGGCTACTATTACTCAGTCGCTTGCGAGAACTGCGAACAGTGATCGACGAGGGGACGATCGGAGTGTCGCTGATAACAGATCCAGAACGAGGGGATCCGCGAGAGGAGGTGTCGGATGGGGCAGGAAGTCGAGATTTGGCTGATTGGACGCGCTCTTCGAGCTTCTGCATCTTACCAATCAGGCCACGGATCTGGAATAGTGATCCAGACTTGGGAAGCCCTGGCGGCCGCGAGGTGTTCATTCTCGTCAAACTATTGCGAGACGAGATCGACATAGAGGGAGTGGACCGACCATTGCCATTGCCATTGCTATTTCCGGTGCTATATGCGCTATTGCTGTAAGCGAGAGATGTGGCTCGTGAATGAGTGGTGCGCGGTTGAGTCCGAGCGTGAAGGGTTCTAGAGTTCACTGGATCTGCACCAGCGGCTCTCTGTCGAGGGAATGTAGGCGTGGAGTTTGCATGGGGGTTGATTGACTTGCGCATGTTCACAGACGACTCGGAGATAGGGGGTGACGGTGGGGTAGCGGTAGACGACGCAAGGGATGATTTAGCGGGGGGCGTGGCGAATACTGGGGAAGATGTAACGGTGCCAGGCGAACGGTCAAAGATCTCCAAACTTTGTGGAGTTGCCGGGCTGCGATGGTACAATGGAGTAGGCTTGCGGCGGCGCATCCCATGTCCTTCGGTATTTCGAAGCTTCTCTTGGATGATCTCAGCCTCAATCTTCAGATCCGACAGCTCGTCTCGGAGGCGTTGATTGTCAATGCGCAGCTGCTCCCGCTCCTGCTCTCCATTTCTGATTTCCTCCTCTAGCAAGACCCCGCGCTCAATGCCGATGTTGTATTTGGACTCCATGTCCTCCAGGGACGAGGTGGTGTTCCGGGCTTGGCGCTCGTAGTCATCGTTGGCAACTTCAATGTCTCGAAGCTTGAGCTGCAAAGTGCGATTCGCGTCTCGCAGCGTGGTGATTTCTTTCTGCAGGTTGTTCTGTACAGAGTTGCCTTCGGTTTTCGACTGCTTGTATTTGGTCTGCCAACGCAATGTTAGCCCCGGAAAAATGGTGAACAATGAGCATCATCCCTTACCTTCCACTCGTCAACTTCATATCGCATCGTGTCGAGCTTTTCCTTCAGTTGCCGTTCCCGCTTTTCTGAAGCTTCAATGTCCTTCTCCATCTCAGTCTCCAGCTCCCGGCTGGAGGACTGAAAGTCCGCAAGCTCCGCCTCAAGTTGCTCATACTGGGATTTGTAATGAGCCAGTTCATCTCTGTAAGAGCTACTCGTATGCTTCCGTTCGGAAGGTGACTCCTCGACGGCCGGCATCTTCTCGCGTTGGGCACCCAGAGGACCGGTCGCAAAGAAGATGTCTGGACGACACCCGTCGTCCAAAATTGGCGAAAGTCAGCGGAAACTGTACGTCAGGCTGTCTTGCCCTACAGATCGCTCCAGCCCCTCTCAAAGACTCATATGCTGTGTGGTGGCCCGATGTCAACAACCGTGCGTTTTGATAAGAGCCCCTCGCGGAGGCGGTGACGCAAGGGATTGGTTGCGGTGCCTGGTAATGTGTCCGTCCACAGAGAGGAAGAGAAGATCGAGGGATGTGGCGAGCTAAGATGGGCAAAGCTGGGTTACCTTCGACCCGCCTCGTGTCGAAAAGCGGGTTAGATTAGATCGGGCTGGGAGAAACCGATGTTGTTGTTTCGGTCGTCAGGGGGGGCCAGTAGATGCGCTAGTCCTCATTTGGCAGATCTGGGATCAGCCACCCACCGCTCTTTTGGCGCGTTTGAGGCAGACATGTTCTGCCCCAGGCATCAAAAGGCGCTGTAAGGCATCAGTGTGGAGCTAAGCCTCATTGGAGCTGAAAGTGATCCTGATCGACCTCAGCCCGTGATCTGGACTCAGCAGTCCCCAGTCTCCAGTCTTTAGGTCTCTGGAGCAATCAAGTCGGAGAGGTAAGTAGCTTTATCTGCCTTTCAACATTTGCTTTAGAACCCTTTGCGAGCCTCCAAGCTCTAAGAACATGTGTTTGTTACCTCTAGACACTACCCTGGACGCTATGCCCACGCACGCGGTTCTTAAGATCGCTGATCATCCTGTTTGCTTCCACGCACTTGTTTACCCCCGATTATTTGCAAGCTCCATCTGTCTACCTCAGTGCTGAGGTGCATCGGTTAAACGTGGGAGGATGGTATGACATCTAAACTTACAGTTCCTGTCCCTTAGATAGATCCCCTCCAGTGAGGCTAAGGCCCAACCCGATCTATCACCATGGCAGACTCAACCGATCTCAACTTGGACGATGCGCCCAGCGACCTTCAAGACATTCCAGAACTGGCAATGCAATTGGTGCCCCCTCCGGAGGGGACATACCCTGACAAGTAAGTTCTCATCCCATTGCCCCTTGCTTGATAGGGCCAATATCAACGACTTATGTCTACAGAGCAACTCTTCTCGCCGCAGTCCAGGACCATGGCAAGGAACATGGCTACAATGTGGTTGTTAAATCGTCAAGCACACCCACGGAGAAGAAACCTGGCCGCACCGCCAAGGTGTGGCTGCGTTGTGATCGTGGCGGCCATTATCGACCACGGAATGGTCTGACTGAGGAAACGCGCAAGCGTCGCAGAACCTCGCGGTTGATGGATTGTCCTTTTATGCTAGTCGCAGCTGGCTCTCCGGGTATCTGGACCCTGACGGTGCTAAATGCGACACACAATCATGGCCCTATCATCGAGAAGCCGCGACAGGTACCTCACCACAAGGTCCGCAAGGGCCAGCTGCCAGCTATCCCTTATGATTGGCCCCACGATGCCTCATTTACCCCATACACCACTGCACTTGTGATAATTGACATGCAAAAAGACTGTAAGTATTTCGGACTATTGCCACTATCAGAGGATCATCTGGCTGATTTTATCCTAGTCTGTTTGCCTGAAGGATACATGGGATATCAGGGCTATGATATTTCTGGCGCGCAGGCTTTGATTCCCCGTCTACAAAGATTGCTCCATGCTTTCCGCTCTGGCGGATTCTCGGTCTACCACACTCGCGAGGGTACTTAGTGTCTTGAGCTCTCAATATCCTTTTACTAACTCACATCAGGACACCGACCCGATCTGTCTACTCTCTCAAGCCGTGAGGCATATCGGTCTCGTAATAACGCATCCGGCTTGGGGATTGGTTCCCCCGGTCCCATGGGCCGTCTGCTTATCCGTGGCGAACCGGGCCACGACACTGTTGACGAACTGTATCCTCTCCCCGGTGAGCCGGTCATCGACAAGCCCGGCCGAGGTGCCTTTGCACACACCGATTTTGAGCTCCTCCTTCGCAACAAGGGAGTGAAAAACCTCGTTATTGCGGGTGTGACCACCGACGTCTGCGTTTCGACGACCATGCGCGAAGCTAATGACCGTGGCTTTGACTGTGTTATCTTAGATGACGGCACTGCAGCCGCCGAGCCCTCGCTACATGTTGGCACTATTCAATCGATTCAAATGGAAGGCGGAATCTTTGGAACTGTTGCCAAGTTGGAAGACGTCATTCACGCTGTCGATAATTTCAAAACCGTCACCATGAAGAAGCTGGCTCCTCAGATGACCGTCTAAGTATGTACTATTTGTTTTAGCGGGTTGGCTTTGGACGCTGGGATTGGAAGGAAATTCCCGGCGTTTGGGACTGGAGTTATCTCTTTTCTGTTGAGATACTGCAGTACGCATACTCGTTGCTTTTCTTTTTCGAACCTCTTCTTTTGTTAGGTTTTAGCGAGCCAGGGACTTCATTGATCCCAACTAGTGTCATTTTTTGCCAATCAATTTAGGTGGAGAACAATAGTCATTTGCACTTCTAGTTCAATTGGTTGTTTTGAATCAAGAATAAGAAGCACACTTTTGTTTGTATTACACCACACTAAATTATCGACCCCATCGTTGACTTGTGACCTTGTTTATCTATGCTGCAAAGCAAGTCAAAACAATGCAATAGATACAGAGAAAGAATCAACCCCCAAAAGAATACATGCCCTAGTAACGCCACGCTCATGAACTAAAACTACCAAGGGACAGCAAGATTACAGCCATTTTTTCCCTGCAGCAGTAACCCGTGTTCTGAAAACAGGACTCTTGATCTCCATTCCCTGCTTATAGAACGGGCTCATCGCCGTCTTGACATAGCTCTCATATACCTCGTTCATGAACTGGCGCACGGCCTCTTCGGTCTGCGGCGAGGTCGGATTTGCGGCGATAGAGCTGGACGAGGCGCGTGTGGTAGATCCTGCTGTGCCTAGCAGGGAGGAGGAACCAAGACCGCTGCTTGTGCTGGTTGAAGAGGGGAGATGCGGGGGTTGATGGAGGAGGAGGAAGCGCGCGCCACTCGGGGTGAGGAAGGCCGTGATGTAGGCTGCCGCCGGTGGGTAGGTGTCGATATGCTTCAGGTACCTTTTGCGACAATGTTAGCTTTGGAATTGGATGTTTGATGTGGGGCATAAAGCGCTTATTTGGGCCTGAGGTTCGCTGTGTTTATGTGGCACTCAGGGATTCAAGCTCAGGAATTCGAGCCGGTTTGCAGGAGCAATTTGAGGTTTGAATAGCTTGTTGAACTTACATTCCGCCATTAGTCCATTGCGCTTCTTCCAGTATGTCCAGACTCGAGTGGATGATGAACTGGTTCATGTACTGCGCTGTCTCCGGGAAGCGGAAGCGGGCAATGCCATCACCACCCCCCTTCGATGTGCCAAAGGCAATGTTGAACAAAGGTGTGTCAGTGGGTGATAGAATGGTGAAGTAGTAGGACATTTTGAGTAGATTTGGATTATTCAGGGTTGAGATGGAGCCGAAGACCGTCGAGGAGCCGGGGATTGTGGCTTTACTAGCGGCCGCCATCACGTGGCTGGTAAGAAATGAGCTTCCATGAAGATGATGTATACACTTTTGATACATTTGAAGGTTGAAAATTATTTTATCAAAGCGTGGCTTTCTAGACTTTTGAACTAGTTCATGTTGGCCTTCATGCTGTCTTCAAAGGAAATTTGGGAGTGACATCTTGTCCAAAACTGGTTCTCAGCTATTATATATATCTTTGTATCTGTAACCTAGAACTGAATCTGCTAACTGTATTGAAGATATATTTGAGCTCGTAACACAACAAGTCCAAAATATACACATAGTATCAAAATATAATCAATACCTCTGAATGCCCAAACCAACTTCACTATGTGTTTGGTACTCCGTATACTATAAATGCTCCGATCTCCCCGCAAAAGTCACAAACACGTGACCTACTGATAACAAGCCACGACTTTATCGCAGTCGATCGCTATCGCAACTTTTGACCTCGACAAGCACCTCCTGCCAAATATACCAACGTCGTTGCTATTAATCTGAGCACATAAAGCCCTGGAACGGATTGGAACACCTAAGGTCTAATATGGCAGCAAATCTCCCCTACGGATTGAACCTTCCGAACAAAAGTCTGGCGGCAAAGAAACCAGGGAGCGGGCAGAAAAGAAAGAACATATTCGACGACGGCTCCGAAGATGAAGACCAACAAACTGGCAATGGTGCAATCGAAATCTCAACGATTGGAGGGCTAGAGGAGCCAGCTACGAAAAAGAAACCCCCGCCAAGCGCAGGGCCACCGCCGAAACGCAAAATCCAATTTGGGAGCGGTCCGAAACCAACAGCCAAACCACTCAGCAAGAACTCGCTATTTGCAGATGATGAGGATGAGGATGAAGAAAGGGAAAAAGAGCAACAAGGCGCAATAAAACTTGGATTGAACCAGGCGAAATCGAACAAGCCAGCCGCCCCTGCTCAGAAATACACCAATCTCGCGTCAATGCATAGCAGCAACATGCAAGCAAAGGCAGCCGAAGAGCTCGACCCATTGATCTACTCATACGATGAAGTATACGACAGCCTGCATGCCAAACCCGCCAAGGCATCAGTGGAAACTAAGAGTGAAACACCCAAGTATATGCAGAACTTGCTACAGAGTGCGGAGATCCGGAAACGGGATCAACTGCGGGCTAAGGATCGACAGCTAGCCAGGGAGCGTGAAGCTGAAGGTGATGAGTTTGAGGACAAAGAGAAATTTGTCACCTCTGCCTACAAGGCGCAGCAAGTGGAACTGCGCAAGGCAGAGGAAGAGGAAGCACGCCGTGAAAAGGAAGAAGAAGAACGGCGCAAAAAGAGTGGCGGCTCCGGCATGATTGGATTCTACCGGGACGTTCTGTCGCGAGGAGAAGCACAGCACGAGGAGGTCGTGAAGGCTGCAGAAGAGACTGCCCGCCGTATCAAAGCAGGTGAGATCATCGAGGAGATGGAGAATAAAGAGGATAAGACGGATGCTCAGAAGGCGGAGGATCTCAATGCTCATGGAGCTCGGGTCGTTGTGAATGACGAGGGCCAAGTTGTCGACAAGCGCCAGTTGTTGTCTGCAGGACTGAATGTGGCACCGAAACCGAAAACTCAATCATCTACGGCGAAAGCAGGAGCTTCACGGCCTACTACCGGACGACCAGGTACCGGTGCTGGTTACCAGGGTGCCCGTGGTGCTCAACGGGCGCGACAGACCGACATGGTCGCAAGCCAATACGAGGAGCGTGCACGACAAGAAGAGGAGGCTGAGGCTGCAAAGCAAAAGGAGATTGCCGAAAAGAGTCGCAGTCGCAAGACCGAGAAAGATGTGTCCAGCGCCAAAGAGCGGTATCTGGCAAGAAAGAAAGAACGAGAAGAGGCTGCTGCCAAGGAGAAATCGAAGGGGGCCTAAATGTATACCAAAAGGCGGATTGGATCTATTGCATCCATGGAATTTTGGAATGCCTCATCTTGCATAGCGCTGGGGAAAAACATGTACATTACTCGTGATACCAAAAAGAGACCCCGACTTTGAGTCATAAGGCTATTTGCTATGGACGGATCTTACGTAGAAGGTCCCAAGCTGCGTAAAGTCCGTAAAGTCCGGTAGGGAATATAAATATGTAACAACCATCTGCTTGCACCCTCCCCATTTTTGTCCCTTTCTATTTACCCAATTCCTACTTCCGTAACACTCAGTAAGTGCTCCAGGGTTATTGCCATACACTTCGGAGAAACTATTGCCAAGACCCCTTAACCCCGGCTTACCTCACCGGCTTATCTCACATCACATGACCCCACACGGGCTGAGTTAATCCGGACCGAAAGCACTCGCTAAGCCGCCCCACACAGGTCGCACTCCCAATTTTGCACTCCCAATCGAGATTCAAGAATCGCTTCATCACCAAACCACTTCCATCTCCCGTTCATCAACGTCAATCATCCAACATGGGTAAGGTTCACGGCTCTCTCGCCCGTGCCGGTAAGGTCAAGGCTGCCACTCCTAAGGTGAGTTCTCTTCGATTTCCAGCCAACGCCACTCGATACACGATTCGCAGTGGCCATCCATCCGACCGGTCTTTTTAACGACAATTTTGCATCCAGGTCGAGCCCCAGGAGAAGAAGAAGAACCCCAAGGGTCGCGCCTACAAGCGTATTCTTTACACTCGCCGTTTCGTCAACGTTACCATGACCGGTGGCAAGCGCAAGGTACATATCGAATGACTCACACCCACCACGCACAACCAAACACAACGCACATTTCGCGAAATATCCACGACCACACACCACGAACTTCGAGAGTGAAGGACAGAAAGGCTGACTAGTCGCGAAATGCAGATGAACCCCAACCCCGGCCAATAGATTATTCAAGTCGTTAAAACAACCACCTGAGCCGCGATCGGCTAGTCGAGTTCTACGATGAAAATCTTCGCATGACCACGGCACGACCACGGCCCAAACGAACGAAAGCACACCAGATACGGCTGGTACTTGTACGGATGATATCACGCTTCTTCGTCTTCACTTGAATTTTTTTTTTGCTGGCAATGGGTTTTTTTTGGAGGTTGATTCGCGGAAATGGATGAATACCCATGGCGGTCTGAGGATGGAAAGCTGTGGCTGGATGTGAGCTGTCTACGGGCAGTTCTCGCAGGCTAGACTTCAGAGTCACTTTTCGACTCATTTAATAGGCTGTTTCATGAATTGCATTTCCGATCCAGAGATGGACTCTGCCTCTTTTCCCATGCTTTTCGGGTTATCTTTACTTGAGAAAGTGCCTAGAGCTATAGAGCTTGCTCTTTTTATTCAGTTGTATGCCTCTGCAGGGCTGATACTGGAGTTGTAGAATGCCTCTTCCATGGTGGGACTCAGCCCTATGCGGTTTGTTACGCGGTTTGTTCTGTTGGCCTCCCAACGACAATAATGGAGTACAATTCCTGAAGTGACTGTACATCGGAGTGTACTCCAAACCGCTTGCCCCACCCATACCTGTCAGAGCTCACCAGTATATAGCCCAAGTCCTCATCTTCCCTACCTTTGTGTCGCATCATGGGGCACCGCGCCATGAAAAGTGCGGGGGATAGAGATTGGCGAGTCTTTTCGCTTTAGCTTGGTTCAAGAGAACGTGGAGCCTTTGTCTCTTTTATAGTACCTACAAGAATAGTCGGCCTCTTACTTTGACGACGGGGATTTCAATACCTTGATCTATTTGGCTCAAGATGATGTTAGGGTCGTTATATTTACGGGGATACTACTACAATGTCTTCTTAGTGTCTTTCCTCCTTCCCATCTTATCGTCAGAAGGATGGAGATGCGAGGCCCTTTTCGATCCATCCCCGGACAATATAAAAGTAGTGGCTAGTTAATTACTCCATAATAGTAACTAGAAGAATATGCTTACATAATGTCCATCTTCTGGAAGACACGCATCCACGCAAATCTTCCGATAACCTCCCACGTGACGTGTTCATATTGTACCTATCACCTAATGACAGGGACAGGCTCATTTAGAGTGAGAAGTAAGAGATAATTTCGCATGGCTCGGAGCTCGACGTCATGACATAAATGACGGATGTTCCTGCGTCGTGTGGGATAATGATCTGAAAAACAAGGAGGCATGACCTCACCAACTCAATGCCGGGTCATCCGGAAATCATGACTTTGCGAACATGTTTGGCAAACATGATTGATGTTCCAAAGCCGAGACGCCCACGGATCGACGGCTTAATTTAAGGTTATCGGGGGGGAGCACGAGATGACTAAGGGATATTGGCCAGTAGCCAACTTCAATCCTGGCCTCCACATCCACTTGAGCTAAAGATGGGACCCAACGAGCAGATATCCAGACATGTCTAATCGTCAGACAGTGGAGAAATGTATCGCCTAGGGGTGATTGAGTTCAATCGTACCCCATGATCCCAAACTCGTCTCTACCCTACACATTGCAATGACATCGATTGAACTCAGTTCCGGGTTCTTGACCGTTTGGAATTGATTTTACATATTGCGATACTGCAGGGCACAATCCAATGAAGGGTATACGTGTTAGTTGGACCAGAAGATGCAAAAGAATCAAAAGTTGCAGGCTACCATACTCCGTCACGTTAACTGGAGAATAAAAGAACAGATATAAAGCGTGAAGACCTGGATTAGACATCAACTGCTGGGAGATCCACTTATCCCACTCCCTATCTCTGGTTGAGCATCATCGACTTCTGATGTTATGCTGTACCATGACATCGAGCTCCCCATTGCTTTTCTTGGATCGTCGGGCAGCGGGCCTTGGAATTCAAGCAAAGGCATGGGATGGCTCAGCTGCGTACCGAGCATTACTCTATGCACTCACTTGTGCTTGCTCCAGTTCAGATACCACCGAAATTACTTCATGATGCAATGAGGAGAAAGATAGTTCCTAATATTATTTAGGTACCCCCGGGGCCCCAATTCTGAATCGGTTTCCTTTTTTGTATTCCATCTTCTACTTTTGAAAGCTGAACACACACGACTGAATGACATTCTTTGATTAATTTTTTATCTGTACGATCCACCTACTGTTAATACATCTATTGTTAATATTTTCACCTGCCAATTTACCACCCATCAACATGTTCGCCAAGGCCAAGGGGATCCTCGAGAAGAGCTCATCCATCCGCGATGAGGTCAGCCATGGCAATTACAACGGCGCAAAAGACATCGTGACTAAAGGCCAAAACACCCAACAATCGACCGGCCAGGGAGGCAAGGCCAATGAGGCCCTCGATAAAGGCTCATCCGCCCGTGATGAAGTCAGCAAACAGGGAGACAAGGCCAATGAGATCCCCGATAAAGGCTCATCCGCCCGCGATGAAGTCAGCAAAGGCAATTTCAATGGCGCAAAAGAAGTTGGCACCCAAGGTCAACCCACTAAAGCATCGACTGGCCAAGGAGTTGCCGGAGGAGTTGCCGGAGGAGCTGCCGGAGGATTTGGCGGCGGAGCATCGAGCAGTATTGCTGGAATGAACAAAGAAGACCTCAACAAGGAGAATGTTCAGCAGACTGGAAAGAAAACCAGCAGAGGCATTGGCCAAGACAACATCGGCAACCCTACTAGCGAAACGAAGGTGGAGCAACGAGGGATGGCCAGCGAGCAGCCAGAAGCCAGCCAGAAACAGCAATACAGCACTAAAGCAAACCAAGACACGGACTTTAAACAGTATGACCGCAAAGGCAGCGTGTTAGCTGGAGAGCTTGAACCCAATTACGATATCCGCAAGGGCCCCATCACTATGCCGGGCACTTTCCAAGAAAAGAACTACCACAATTCGACCGGCCAAGAAACTCTTGTTCAGAGAGGGACCAGCAGCAAAGGAATACCCAGCCAAGGAACCAACAATGCTCCTCAGGTTGCCTTCGCGGGGGGAGGAAGCGGCAACACGGCCAGCTCAAACCAAGGAAAGACTGGAAAAGTCGCCACAGGAGGTGATTATAGCGAGGAAGCCCTTGAAAAAGAGATCCACGACCATGAGAACATCAGCCCGGAAGTCTCTAACGATGGGGCCACTGGCAAGAACCTCTCCCAGAAATCTGCCGATCAAGACGTTGGAAAATACCATATCGACAGAAAACAACTTGACAAGCAGGGCTCCCAGCCTTCCCAGAAAGCGGGGACAGGTGAAGCTGCTGCCGCCGCCGCTGCCGCCACTGGCTATGGTACGAGTAAAGGAGCCACCAACCAGACCTCTAACACCAGAAAACGGAGCAAGGCACATTCCGTCTCTGGGAACAACGCAGCCAAGGCCCATGATCTTACTTTCACAAGATCGAACGACCAGGTTGCTCCCACCGCAGGAGAACATGGCTATGGAAGTGGACAAGGATTGGCCGCCTCAAACCAGCCGAACAGGGGAGGTGTTACTTATGCTCGTGCGGTGTCCGATCGAGGCTTCAATCCTAAGACCCCGACAAACACGGAGTATTCTACCACCGGTGGATCCAACCAAACAAGTGGCCTGCGTTCTACCACCACTGGCCAGACAAATAGCGCCTTGTTCAATACCGGCGGCACTGGATCGAACCAGGCAGGCATCGCCGGCAAAGGTGTTCTGGGACTTCACCAAGACAATAGCTATGGACTATCCGGCAATGACAACAGCGGAGTCAGCCAAGGCATTGTTGGTGGAGCAGGAACTAGACAAGCTGGTGGCTATGGTACCTCTGACAGCTTCAACAATGGAACCACCAATGCTAGGTCCGGCACCAAGAGCAGCGCCGGAAATGAGGTGACCTCGAAGCGCCTTGTCAGACAGCTTAGCAGTGGATACAAGGTCACTGTCCTTCAGGAGAAGGTTCTGGCCGTGTCCCAAAAGTGCAAGGCTCAGCTGGGCCTGTCTTCCAGTCAGATCAGCAAGCGCAGCCCTAACGTTGATGCTTTCTTTGATGCTGTTGCAGCTGAACGTCTCCGCTGGATGCCTCATGATGGTAGCAGACTTGACTGCAGCCTCAGGTGGGCGTCTAGACTGGCGTATGCAGTCGACGCCCTTCAGGAGTCCGTTGGAGTCTTCGCGCCAGCTGCCAATGAGGCGGCAACGCTCATCTGGGGATTCTCTATCCTCCTTTTGGAGGTGAGTTAAGGTGGCTGGTGAGCCTTTTTGGATATGAATACTAACTAGTTGTATAGTCTGATATGGACAACACGGATGTCTTCGAGAGCGTCTTTGGCCGATATGGCCGGGTCGCCGTCGGTATTTACTTGCTTCTCCAGTATGAGACCGCGTACAAATCCTCTGCTGAACTCCAGCCATATGTTGCCGCTGTCTTCGCAGATTTGCTTGAGATGGTCAGCAGCACGGCCATCAGCTGTATCGAGGGATTCAAGAGCAAAGAGTCTGATCAAGTTATCGGACGCAATGTTGATGCCGCTTTTGTGACTTATGCCAAGCGCTTTTCTACCCACTGGAATTGTGTTGTCGATGCTCACACTGCGAAGCTTGTTCAGGACAGCGCCCTGATTTACTCCTCGCCTGAGCTGGGTAGTTTGCGTCAATTCCTGGGAGTGCAGGACCGCCCTCTCCAATTTATCCTCGACTCTCGCGCTCATTCGCTTGCTGAGGGATCGTTTGAGTGGTTCAACAACACGCTCTATGATTTCAGTCTCGCGAGCTCCCCTGTGATGCTGATTTCTGGTGGCCCTGGCTCGGGAAAGAGTGCACTGGCTCAATGGACAGTTGAAAGACTACAAGAGTCGTCTGAACACGATAACTGGAATGTTATCCCGTATACCATTCGTGAGTTTGCCTATTTTTATATTTTGTTGAATTGCGAGCTAACCCAGTAAAGGTGCTGATATTCCTGTCGCTACTTTGCCTCTCCGCATTTTGAAGGGCGTCCTTCACCAGATGTTGGACCACTCTGTCAGTGACAAGCAGACCCAGGAGGCTATCCTGGTTGAAGTCGCCAGAGCTGCCCAAGGAGCGATCGACGGCGCTGGGGACGACGCAGTTGAAGCAAGCCTTTGGAGAGGTATTCGTGCTGGCCTTGCTACTAACATCCAGTACATGTTTGTGGTTGACGGCATCGACCAGATCAGGGGCGGCCATACCAATGCCATTGCCTGTCTTGATCGCTTCTGTGAGATTCTCTCCGAGCAGAATGTTGGATCTAAGATGATCGCTTTCACCCGTCCCCTGAGCCTGAAGACCAACTCCAAAGGCGTTCAGCAGTTTACCCTACAGACCACCCAGACCAAGACCGACCTTGGGGCGTATGTCAACAAGA